GGGGTTCCTAGAGATCTGGGGAGAGGCATGCTCTAAAGTCTTTGGTATCCTTAGATGCCTCATCAACTTCCTCCACATCCTCTCCAAATAGCAGCAGCGGTTGGGCGACCGAGCGACAACCGACCAAACGTTCACCAGGTTGTGACACAGTTTCAATGCGGTGAACAGTTCTATAGCGATTCAAGGAATCTTTCGGTCAAAAGCTTAATTTGTGAATGGGTCCAGGCAATCCCCATAGTTCAACCAGCTCCAGCTAGGGGGGTAGAATAAGCACCCATGGCCCATCCTACTCTCACCTCACAGTGAGAATATCCCACTGAATATTTTGTTTTAGTCTGTGTCTCTTTTATTTAGTCTGTGTCTCTTAGCAAAGCGGCATGTAACAATTTGAGGGCGGAGTGTCCCAGGCCGGTGGTGCCCAATAAAGTATGTGACACTCCTGAGGTAGACCCCAAAATGACTCAGTTCCTCACTAAACTGGGCTGGAACCCCCGTGAGGGGCTAGAATCTGCCTTGAAATCTTGCCAGGATAAACACCTGGATATTTTCGGCCCTCTGGCCAAATTGTTTGACTTGGCGGAAGACGCCAGAGCAGGGAACCGCATGGTTGACCCAGATGACCTACGTAGTTGGGTCCAGAGAGCAATTTGTATTGCCGGGAGCGTTAACACCTCCCTCTCTATAGAACGGCGTAAAGCAATCTTGTTTAAAATTGAACCAAAGCTGGCCAATCTTGCCCTCACAGAAGCTGGTAAGGGCGCCCAAGGCTTACTCTTCGGCAATTCCTTTATTAAAGACTTAGGGCGTTTCGTTGGGGCATTTACAGCCCTTGACAAGGCCCAGGCCTCCATGAGACAGGTATCCACCAGGGCCAGCAGATTCAGGAGCCGTCTGTCCGGCCGTACCTACTTCCAATAACGTGGCACGGGACGAGGCTCCTTCCAGCAACGTGCTAACTACCAGGAGACTAATACCCGTCCCACTTTCTTCCAGTCCCGTGGACGCCAGTGGCAAGGTTTCCGGGGCAACTCTAGTTCCAGACGACCTTACGGTGAGTTCCCTCATACATCAAATTTCTTCTCATGTTTGTGTAGGGGGCAGACTAACATTTTTTCCCAGCTTGGTCACTAATTACCTCAGACCTTTGGGTGCTGACCAGTGGTTGGGGTTTCCAGATAGAACTAGTGGGGCACCTTGTACACATTCCCCCTCCATGACCCATCTGCTTCTCACTCCGGGATCGCAGATTGAGCGACGAAGAACTCTCCACCCTACTTGTCAAAGGGGCTATAGAACGGGCACCTCTCAACCCCGCAGGTGTAATAAGCAACATTTTCCTGGTGGAAAAGAAGGGCGGTCAAATGAAGCCCGTCATAAATCTGCGCCCCCTCAATGCCATGGTTCGGTACCGCCATTTTTTTTTTTAAGATGGAGTGTATTCACCTGCTACGAGATCTTCTCCTGCAGGGAGACTGGCTAGCAAAACTAGATCTCAAAGATGCGTACCTGACTGTACCGATTGCGGTGACATCCCGAGACCTCCTGCTCTTCTGCTGGCGGCACGAGATTTGGCGATTTACCTGCCTGCCCTTTGGCCTCTCCTCAGCACCGTGGTGCTTCACAAAACTGCTGTGACCTACGATGGCCTGGTTGCGCAGTCGGGGGGTTCGTCTAATCATATACCTAGACGACATCCTTCTCATGGCTCAAGAGTGCTCCACTCTCCTTACACACCTACAGTTGGCCATAAACCTCCTTTCTTGCTTGGGATTCATTACAACAGGGAAAAGTCGTGCCTGACCCCTGTCACTCGCATGGAATTCCTAGGGTTACTCGTGCACTCGGGGGAGGTGACGCTGAGCCTGCCGATGACCAAGATTCGATCCATCCGCAAAGAGCTTCGCAGACCCCTCATCCGGCCCCAGCTCACCTTGCGACAGCTTGCACAGCTCATCGGCCTACTGGCCTCATCTATACGGGCAGTATTTCCGGGCCTGCTCCACTACCAAGTGCTACAGCACCTGAAAATAGCGCACCCAAGGGCCGGTGCATCCTACGCGGATCTGGTGTCCCTGGACAGCGAAACGAAGGTGGATCCTCAACCTGTCCACGTGGAACGGCAAAGCGATCTTCGGCTCGCTGCCAGAATTCACCATCGACTCCGATGCGAACCTCCATGGCTGGGGGACCCATTGCGAGGGGTTTTCGACAGGAGGTCGCTGGTCGGAATCCGAATCCCGGCTACACATCAACGCGCTGGAGTTCCTGGCAGGCTCCTTCGCCATCCGCAGTTTCGCGAGGGACCGGGTCCTGGCATGTATCCGCCTCCGCATTGACAATGTCTCAGCAGTGAGATATGTCAACCACCTAGGCGGTACACAGTCTGCGGTGTTGGCCAGTCTGGCGAAAGACTTTTGGGAGTTTTGCCTGGAACAGAACCGGATGGTTTACGCGGAATACTTACCTGGCCTAAGAACAAGTTGGATACAGCTCACTCTGGTATACTAGAGAAAAGGGGGGATAAACCCCTGGTGAAATAAAAAAAAAGAGTATGAAAGTAGTATACCTGAATTCAGGGTGCTAGGAACATATAGGAATGGTTATGAAAAATAGTACCAATGGAAGGCTAAACATACGAATCGAAAACAACAAAGAATTTATTGAAAAATATATCTTAAAAATTGCCAATCACCCAAAGTGTAACACACAAACAAAATAAGGTGTGACAATTCGAAATAAATAAATAATTAAAATAAAAAGAAATAGCTTGATAGCTAAGGGTATTAAAAAGTTCTAAGGTTGCACTCTATTTATTCTCTTGTTATAGCTCACGTCTGTGCTTAACAAAATTTATTATATACGTAAAGTGTGGAGGGGGGAAGGATAGGGTACCCTGGGGTGTAGAGAGTATAGATCCTGTGTATGTATAACAAAAAGGGCTTGGTAAGAGGTGTAAAAGCAACAAACTCAATAAATAGGCATGGATGGAAACAAGTAACAATTCAACAGTAATTGTTGCCAAATTGGTTACACTGTCAGTTAGCTGTATATTAAGCTGTCAGTGAACCTCTGTGTAACACAGATAAGTTTAGAACTGTGACATCGCCTATAAAGTTACGTAAAAATAAGTTTGGTAATGCTAGATAGTACGCCTAAATATTATGATCTCTTATTAAAATAACTGGAGATGCAAATAAATAGTTAGAATACTAAATATAGATTTTAAATGAATGCAGCGGAGGCCTTCCTGCAAGACTGGAGCGGAGACTTCCTGTATGCTTTTCCTCCATTTTCCATGATCCCGCGCTCACTCCTGTAAACCCGCAGACACCAGGCCGAGTTAGTCATGGTGACCCCTTCTGGGAGATGCAGTCATGGTTCCCTCAAATGCTCGAGATGACGATGGACTATGCCTGACTACTGCCGTCGTTTCACAAACTGCTGTTGGACCCGATGGGACGATGTCACCCCCTTTTATTAAAATCGCCTGATTTTATTAAAGATACAGAGGCGAGTATTGTCCCACCCATGTTATATTTCTCATGTTATGTTTTTCTTTCCTACCCAGTTTGTTGTATGTTTACACGAGTTACATCGAATGGTTTGGTATGGTAAGTGGGGCCGTGTCGTAACGGGGTTGATTATGTACCTTGACTTGTTTAATCACTCTGAATTGTGGAACTGTAGATATGTGGGGTTTGCTTAGCCTGGCCTTGAAATTGGTTGCAAGTATCGACTTTAACCTGTGGGCTCCTGTTCCTTTATGTTTTCACAGCCTGATCCGACGAGGTGGAATGCCATGCTTCAGCTTGTGAGGACTCCCCCGGCTGATAGAGTTTGGTCGTACGATTATCCGGTTGTGCTTCCCTGTTGTTGAAGTGTTATCCTCTTCTTGGCGAACAGTTCTACATTGTCTCCTCATTGGACATTATCGCTGTTCTTGGTTACTGACGTTATTTTGTAGGGTCGCATCTTCAGAAAGAGGGAAATGGAAGGGAAGTGCTGCCTATTATACTGGGACCTGAGCGGGGAGGGGCCTGTGTTACTGTATGTTCATTATTTTTTCATTCTGTTTGTATTCTTTGCTGCTATTGGTGGACAGTAAAGAAAGGGATATGCAATACTCGCCTCCGTATAATAAAATCATGACTTTTCGTCATGTAATAGCAAAATCATGCAATTTGTTGTTACAAATAGAAGTTCTGTAGTTTAGCATAAATCTCTATTGGCATCGCAATTGGTAGTAACAAGCAGTGTAGAGCACCTTAAACAAGTAAAGAGGAGGTGGATCTGTGTAAACACCCTAAAAGGGCTAATGGAGTGCTATAAAAAAATTCCAGAATGTACCAGAGGTGGAATAGAAAACACACAAAAAAGAACAAGGTGGTAAACCTTAAAAGTAGTACATTCAGCAATAAGAAGGAAAAAATACACCGCAAATTATGGCACGAAAAAACAGTAACATATAAAGATAAAGTCCAAAAATACGCATGTCAAACATCAATCTATTGTAGTAAAAAACAAACTAAATCAAAGTAAATGGTGAACATAAAAAAGCAAACTTAAAAGCACATGCACAATCTCTCAGTTTGTTCAATGAGATAAGAATATCAGCACAAGAGAGCTGAATCAGTAGGGGAAAAAAAACAGGACCACTTGTACCCAATTCAACATCTGCTAAATAGGTTTCATTTAGGTAGTTCCAGAACCCACAGTGCAGAGAATTAGTAGTTATTTTGTACAAGCCAGGCCATATTGCCTGCATAGAGACATAGACATGTAAATGTTGTCAAAATAGCCCAGGTACTTAGATGGTACCAGTACAACTTGGTTAATCCAGAACGGCCTTACGAGGGCCTCGACTAGCAAACCTATGTTTTATGATTATATCAATTTAACTGATAACAGTAATGATTTTTTTTATACAAAAATGAACAAGAACTCATTAGAAATCAAATACCTTTCATCGTTTTCTAGCAGGACAATTACCTTGTTGTGTTGTGGCTGAAAGTAAGGAATGGAGGTAGAGGGCAAATTGAGCTCTTATCCATTCATCTCCACCCTCCCAACCTGTGCCATCCAAGAACACATCATCCCGGTTTTCTGTAACGTGCTTTACTAGGTGATCGGTGAATCGGAGGTCAGCAGTTGTAGGGTTCAGGATCTTCCTGAGCTCTGGGTCATGAATTTGGATTCGGGTTTCTTCTACCTAATTAGCCAATAATCAGAAAAAATGATTGTAAACCTGACTCAAACACACACACACACACACACATGTACACACACACGTACATGCACACATTATAAACATTGTAATGAAAATTCTGTTGCAAATATCACAGACTTGCTCACTCTACTCACTCTTATCGATACGGTTATTTATTTACAGACGTTAGAATTTCTTGCAATTCAAAGTAAAATTAAAATGTAAGGACCAAATAGCGAAACTGACCAAAGAAATTATTTCAATTTGTTTTTCTAAATTGGCTATTTTGGCCTATATTTTGAATTCACTTTAGATTCTTGGCAATTCTCACTTTAGTGGACAACCCTGAATGCGTGACCTAATGCATTATTGACAATTTATATTAAACCAATAAGTATACAATTAGTCAGTCATTCATATTTTCAGCAGCACCAAAAATTGTATGGCTGAATAGACAAGGCATTCCTAACAATTCATACTCTCTCTATTTTGCTAACCGTCTTGGCTAACTCAATTGTTAAATGATTTTTGTTAAGCAGATAAACTAATCTGCCACAAAATTAAACATTCCTGCCTAATATCATGCAGGTCCCCCTTTTGTTGCCAAAACAGCTATGATGTGTCGAGGCTGGACTTCACAAGACCTCTTAACGCGTCCTGTGGTATCTGGCATCAAGACATTAGTAGCAGATCCTTTGATTGAGATCTGGGGAATTCTGAGGCCAAAACAAGATCTTCAACTCTTGGGCATGTTCCTCAAACCGTTCCTGAACAATTTTTGTAGTGTGGCAAAGTGTGTTATCTTGCTGATAGAGGCCACTGCCATCAGGAAACACCATTGCCATTAAGGGGTGTTTCTGGTCTCCAGCAATCTCTATGTATAGGAGTTGTGGTCAGAGTAACTTCCATATGAATGCCAGGACCCTGCAGAACACTGATATTTTGGAGGTGTTTATCTATGTATTCACTATAGGAATTCCTTTTGGAGGACATTCACATTAGCTACATAATACCCTCCTAGTATTCAATGTGGCTGTTTTGAACAACTCCACCCAGATTTTAAAGGTGTATTATCACTTGGTTTTCACTATTGTTAGGTTTGTATTATTATTTTTTTGTGTTTAAATATTCGGCCTAATAAAGGTTTTTACCACTTATACAAATTTTCGTTTTAAGAGGTACCCTTTTGGTGGAGTGGGCATCCGTCCTGCTTTATGCAGACGGACTCTCCATCTCACTCTTTCTTTTCTTTGTTAAACGTATGTTTAGGGTTCATGCCCTTGGGTACCTACGTAACCTTATGTGAGACACCAGTGCTGGTTTTGATCAACACTGTAGTCTCTCTTTCTCTTGTTCACTATTGAAAAGTAATTCAAGAATATTCATTAAAGTGAGAAACCTACGTGAATTCAAAGTGAATTTCAAATTTAAGGTTAAAATTGTCGCAATGGAAAAATTCTCTAATTCAGCTATGCTTTCTTTTTGGCTACTCTGAATTCTCACTTCAGTAAATAACCCTGATTGTGTTTTAATCAATCTAAAAACTGTTCAAAAACAATGCACACAGATTTATTCCAAAACACACCCTACTTATAGCCTTTGTGTTCTTGGGAATTACCCACCTCAACAATGGCATCACTCAGGTGCTTTTGTTGGCGAAATAGAATGTTTGTTGCCCCAGCTACGAATCCACGAATACTGACATCAGAGAGTAGATGATGCTGCTGCAGTGCCATGTATGGTAAACACAAATAGCCCTGGACAAAAAAAATGGACCATTAAAAGATAATTAGTGGATGGGTATTTAAACTCAAATACTAATTGCCTAAACAGGATTACAGGCAACCTGAAATGGACACTCTGAGGAACATAACCAATAAAGCTTAGTGAATGTAGTGCACGAAGTCCTAGTCCTTCTAGTTTTTGAGAAAAAACAAAAAAGCAAGCAGCCAAAGCTAGTCTTGATGATTCCTACATTTTACAGCTCATTCTTTTTGTAACTCATTTGATACTATATTTCTGTAAGTTTTTATAAACTTAAAAAGAAAAACAGACACGGCACATGAGACTGATTTATTGAAAAGGAACAAAGTAACGTTTCGTCTCCAAAAAAGAGACTTTTTCAAACTTTTGGAGGTGAAAAGTGGTATGGTTGTTTTCCTATAAACCTGCTAGAAACCAGCTTCCGGTGCCCAGTCTGTTATTTTTTTTTTTTTTTGTCGCTACTGATTTCATGTGCTTTGCCTACCCAGGTCTGCAGACACTCTGGTTGATAAGTTTGAGAGTGTGCCATCTTCTAAACTGTATTGGATTGACATTGGTGAGAGAAAATTTTGACCTGGCAAATAGAAATTCACCTTTGCTTAGTGTGCCATGGACCCTTCAGGCTTGCAGAGGAGAGTAACTCCTGGTGAAGGACTTGAAATTTCAAGCCATAGATAAAATGTGATAACTTTATTAGGAGAAATGATTACATTTTAATTATTCTTTGCATTGGTCTTTAAGAAACCAACTTTGTCTAGTGTTCGGAAAAGAGTTAATTATTTATGGTCTCAAGATAAGTAGCCAAAACCTGTATTTTGCAAAGGTTTCATGCAACTGACCTTTGTAAAGATGGCCAGAGGCATTCCATATTGGTCTTCTTCTAGCCCAGATATAAGTCCTGGAACGAATACGGTCTGTCCTGTGGCAGATTGAGGTTGAACTGTAATGGGTATGCTCCCTGAAGAAACCAGGTCCTTGTTAAAATTATCAGTCTGTTCTGGCCTTCCTACTTCCCCTTCATCCTTTGTGATACATTCCTCAAGTATACTTGGATCTAGGGTCTCCCAATCACTCTCTATAGATTCTGGAGATGTGTGGGAAGGAGGCCGTATTTGTTCAACACTACCATTAGTGTCCATCTCTGATTTAAAAAGAGGCACTTCAGCTGGGATGTTGTGAAACTGCTCTACTTCTTTTGCAGTTGATGCCTGGGTAGTAACAGGAGAGAAATAATCCTCTGTAGGCACAACAGCAGGTAATTCCACATCTTCCGACATGCTCTTCCGTGGTCTGTACTGTGAACTGTCTGTTAACCCATGTTCAATCATACCTATTTAAGGGACGGTCAAAACTTTCATTAAAAGATGCTGAAATGGAATCACAGGTTTTGATACAGTGAACTCTGCATGACTTTTCTTTAGAAAGGTGTAAACTTTCACACACAAGAAATAACTACTACAACCCCCAATAATGTTTAGAATGATCTAGTAGTGTTACTATTTCCACATGCACAAGAGCAAACTAATCCTTGAACATCATAAAATTGATCAAATCTAACATTCATTTGCTTTACTAGAAGTATTGAAAAAAATCCTTTTTTCTACATGGTAAACTGTGCAATTTAAGCCATGTTATTCTACCACACCCAGCACACTTAGATTGTCTTAAAGCAGGGGTGCCCAGAACGTAGATCACCAGATGTTTTAAAACTACAGCTTTCATGATGCTTTGTCATTCTAAAGCATTCTAAAAGTATGCAAAGCATTATGGGAGCTGTAGTTCTACAACATCTGGGGATCTACCTTTTTGGCACCCCTGCCCTAAAGTTTGCAGGTAAAATCTGATTGTCAGCTTACCTGCATTTGAGGTTACATAAATACATTTCTATATCAATGGTTATTGCTTTGTTTTACTGTAAAATTACCTTACCTGGAAAGAGAGACAAGACAGTCATCAATGCACCCACCAGTCTGTTAACAGGAGAAACAAAAAACAGAACCTACAGAAGATAAGGATTCATTAATGTTAAAATGTTACCAACTGTCAGTTAAAATAATGCATATCTTACTCTTAGAAAGTATTTTTTTTTCCATAATTAAACATTAACTTATGCATCAGATTTTAGCAGTTCTGTTTTATGTCTCTCTGGTAAACACCATTTTAAATGGCAGGTGTAGACTTTTAGAAATCTTTGTAACATAATATTCCATATAATTCTCACTTATTGTTTCCGACATTTTTGCTTTAAAAAAACGCTTTTGCATTTGGTAAGTTTTGTAGTGGCAGTAGTTTTGGTGTCAGGAGTGTCCTGGCACTTTCCCAGAACAAGAAGTCAAACTGTTTAAGAACAGGGTCTGCCAAGTGCTGGCCACTGCCTCTATGCAAGCTCTTACTCAGTGCAAGGCCCTGCTCAGTGGCTGAGAGCAATCAGAGCTCAGTCAGTGGAGCTAATGGAAACTCCTTTAGAAGCTTCCGGCAGCAGGGCAGAAAATGATGGGAGCTAGGTAAGTTGTCATTCTTAACCCCTTAATAACCAGGGCTCTTTTCACATTTCTGCGGTGTTTGTGTTTAGGTGTAATTTTCCTTTTACTCATTTACTGTACCCACATGTATTATGTACAGTGTTTCTCTTTCTAGAGATACCATTATTTTCATCATACCATATAAATTTCTATAATTTTTTTATTTATTTTTTAAACTCACACTTTTTCGGACTTTGACCCCCAAAATCTGTTGCGCATCTACAACCACCCATGCCACATATTTTCAAAATTTTGTCCTGATTTTAGAAATACCCAATGTTAACATGTTCTTAGCTTTTTTTTTTGTGTGCAAGTTATAGGGCAATAAGCAGAAGTAGCACTTTGCTTTTCCTAACCATTTTCTTTTTAAAATTAACGCAAATTACATTGTAACACTGATATCTGTCAGGAATCCCTGAATAAAATTTCACATGTATATATTTTTTAAAAGAAGACAACCTAAGGTATTAAACTTGGGGTATATTGACTCTTTTCGTGCTCTTTTTATGCAAACCAACAGATTTTTTTTTTTTTGGACACACATAGCAATTTAAGAATACATGTACTGAGAAACTGAGAACTTTAAATATTACTGCCAAATATCACAAAAATATGTGTTCAGCAACATCTCCTGAGTACTGTACAGTGATATCACCCATGTACAGGTGTGTCAAGTTCTCTGGGGACTAAAAGACCTTATTTGGAGGGTGCGCATTCCTGTTTTCCAACTTGGAATTTTCACAGCTGGTCATCATGCACCCATATCCCATTTGGAGCATTTTTGAAGCCGGGCAATGTAATTTACCCCTATCAAACAATATATTTTTTAAAAGTAGACACCTTAAGGTATTTCAAGTAATGGTATTTTAACACTTTCCATGCACTAATTCTACCACCAGTCTTTGTCAAACTTTTGGGTAGTCATTTTTTTGTGTTATTTTTCTCTCACATTGTATTTTAGGCATCAACACATCAGTATGTGTTCAGCAACATCTCCTGAGTACATCATGATCGCTTACAGCACTCTAATTAGCCGCGGACATATAAGGCATGTCTGCAGTCCTTAAGGACCGTTTTTTTTGTCGGACGTACCTGATACGTCTGCGGTCGGGAAGGGGTTAAAGAAAAAATCTAAACTAGTGGTTATGGTACTGGGAGAGCCCTAGTGACCCCTCCCCTCCTGCCCCCCACAATATAAGAAGTCACACCACAAGGTTTACAGTTTACTTCTTACATGTGGTCAGCTGGGCACTGCTCCACACCTCCACTTTTCAAGAAGCTCACTTCATTCAGCTAAGCCTAACAGTTCAGGGCATAGTTCAATGGATGAGAGCAATCAGTTGACACTGTCAGACAACACACTAGCCTGCATTGTAGTGTTTAGATCATGAGATCTAACAGAAACTCCTGCTTAGGAGTCACTGGCTTTTCTTCTGGCTTTGAGGAAGTAGAGAGCAGCATCTATTAACCAGCCTATTAACAGCTCTGAACTGCAAGTCTTAACTCAGTGGAGCCAACAAAAGCTCCATGCAGGAGCTTTAAGCAGCAAAGGAGGAGGTGGAACACAGGTAAGTTGTCATTCTTAAATAATTTGGTTAGATAATGTGAGAGGGCACAAATGAACTGGCACCATAAATCATTACTGCAGGCTGTAGTGGTTATGGTGCTTAAAAAGTGTTCCTTAATAAAATCTGGATGTTTTTTTGAAAAAACTGAATATTCAAGGCTACTACAGTTATGTGGTAAAATAGTGTGTTGATGAATAATATGAATAGCAAGAAATATTGTTTTTCCATATCCTGGTAAAATTCCAAAGTGCTTCTAATTGGGGTTTTCACTAGATTTTTTAATTAAAACCAGAAACAGATGAAAGGCTTATTTTTCAGCCTATCTTTTGAAATGTATTGTTTAGCACATAGTTTTTCATGCATTATCTATTCCACACGTACATAAAGGCCTATTACAATGCATGAAGTGCCACCATGTGCCACTATGTAATTATCACATATCATGCACACTTTAATACAATGAAAATCAGAACATTTTGACTTTAACTTACCTTTTTCTCAAGAAGAATCAGTTTAAACAAAATTAAGACCTGCACATAAAAAAAAAGTATGAATAAACACAATTTGCAGCATTTCTCTTATATTCCCATACATGTTTAACAAACATTAAATGGACACTCTAAGCTACAAAATCATCATAGTTTAATGTTGTGTTCTAGGTGCACAGTTACCATCACAGCAGTCTGACACTTGTAAGCATTGCAGAATGTGAGCTGCTAGTTATGTATGCATTTATTTTTAGGCACTTCTTTGGATGATGTAAATGACAATCTCCAGCAAAAGGAGTCACCCCAAGAATGACCAATAGGAACAGGCATAATCTCAAGCATTGCACAATATATGCCTAAGGCACTTTATTCCGCAAGTGCTAGACTATCCATGGAAAATCCAGAAGTCCAAAACGATTCCAAAGAACCAGTGTACAATATAGATCCTGTGAGAAAGTTACCAAGAGCTAAAGAAAAATGGCTGGTCTAATGTTTTATTTTAGTTTTCAGCTTAATTACCACAGCAAAGCTGTATGGTAGTTTTAGCACCACATATTATTGTATTAATTTTCTACATTGGTGTCTACTTGAACTGCATAAAAGTATCTCTAAATAGCAGATCTTGCACTATATTTTTTATGATTCTTTATTTTTGTTGCGCAGATAAGTACAGCAGTGCTTGTATTGCCCCGACTTCATTTATTTTATTCCAGTTTTTGTCTCCTGAATTTATCACTGTAATATAATTTTTAAATTATACACTCTAGAAACCATGATCACTTCAGATTACTGAAAAGGTTACAGTGCCAGAGTACCATTCTTGAAATCTTATGTTAGCCTCAACGGGCCAAATAGGGCTTAAAAGGAAAGCTCTTAGCTCTGAATTAAAGCCAGCAATTACAATTTCAGACTCTCAGCACACATAGCATTGTAAATATGCTCCCTTTAGGAAAGAGCATCTGAAAGTCCACTTACATCCATACTGACATACCAACAGACTGGTATGAGTTCGTATAAAGAATGTGTAATTGCATGCTCTTTTATGGAAACCCCATTTTGTGCAAATATAATACTACAGGGATGGTACTCTGACACCATAATCACTTCAATTAGCTAATGTGTATATGATGACTAGAGTATCCCTCTAATTCAAAAAAGCACATACAACAAAAAAACATTGGTTCAGTAGTGGCCAAATAAATATACAAAGTGCAATACCTTATGCCTAAACTGTAGGACGAGGTCCCGAGGTGACAGGCCTGTGGGGTGGGAGGAAAAAAAAGTTAGATGAAATATATTTTAGGTAAAAGTGACTGAAACACAGGATTTTGCGTATAAATAGTGTGCACGTTTGCAGTGATTTTATGTACAAAACAGTTACTCAACCTTTTATACATTAGTGGTCTTTATACATATGTCTGAAAATGAACACAGTGTATTCATTTTATAAAGGTTTACAACATTAGGCAAACATTAGCATTGGTTCCATAAAGGCCAAAGCAGTCTAAGGACCAAGAACAGAAACAGTCATGAGAACAAAAAACAAAAAATAAAAAAAACTAAAATCAACAAAATGATTATGTATAAAAAGAAACAACTCTCATCTGTATTGACTTGATATGCCAAACATAATAAACTGCATCTGCAAAGAGGGCCAATTGCACAAAAGTCAAAACAGAACAGACACTTTAAATTAGAGTTGCTGGATACCAGTAAGGCACAGCCTCAAAATTGAACATTGTGACCTAGTTTATAAAATAACATAAGTTGTTGTTTGCCATTTTTTCTTCAACTGGTTATAGTTTTTATTTTAGAAAGTGAACAGTTACCTTGAACCAGTATCTGTTGGCAAATAATAATAATAATAATAATAATAATAATAATAATAATGGGAGGATATGTAATGGCATTTGGGTCTTTTTCCACTTTGGCTGTTTTAGCCTTAAGCTTGAAATTCATTTCAGTTTGCTTTGATTTCCTAACAATAATCACATTACAAATTAATCCTTATAATGTTCCATTCCGATTTTAAAAAACAAAAGAAATGTCAGTGTATTTCCATTTCTTCAACAGGACACACCATTTTCGTTAGCAACCAAGAAGACAAGATAAGCCTTTGATTAAAATCTTAGATACAGAACTACGATAAAGATGCAAAATGTGCTGAAAATATAATTTTCAAATGTTATGATAATCCATCTTTTAATTATATTAACTTAGACCTGGAAGAAAATAAGGACTTAAATATCGAACAAGTAAAAAGAAAAAAAAAAGTCACTATGGGTTATAGAAAAACCATATTCAAAAATATAATACATTCATAAGAAAAATTATACAAATGCTGCAAATGAGAGTTGTCCGTGAAAGGTTCAGCTGCAGGTGAGGTTTTAAATCTTCACAATGACTCATCATAAAATACTATATGTGGCCAAATGTTCTTAAAAAATCCTTTAACAGCAAGGCTTGCATGACAGACAATTAAAATGAAAGATGAAATAGGAAGTGACAATTCTGTTTGCAGGATCAACAAAACATTATTTACCAAGATATAGTTGTGATCCTTCCAGTGCACTTCCGCCTAATGAGCCATTCATATGTTCATAAAGTTCCTTCAGAGAAAACAAAAAGAGTATGTTACTGGTGTGTGGATAAGATTATATTTCTTGTTTAAATAAACAAACATTCAGCTGTCATCATAAGGTTACACTTTAACATGAGAAAATATTTTTGAGCAACGCTTCTTAATTTAAACCAGATTTTAATGACCATTAATGTTACATGCTTTAGAAGTCCTGTTCAAAAGCTAGGAATTATTAAAATTATTCCTTTCAAGGAATGTATCAAAAGAGTTTTATTAATGACTATAACTTAAAAACTCAATTTAGGGATACAGTCTCTGATACCTTCACTATGAGGTGTACACTCTTGGTCAAGTGATTTACACCCAATAGTAATCCCAGTTATCGTAGGAACAGTATAAGGAATATTGTTACTTATGTATTTTCCAGGAAAACACACACTATTATACCCAACAAATAGCAACACCAGTAAAATAATGAATATATAGGAATAAGGGGGGTAAATAAACATGCACATGGAGAAAAACGCGTACGGCTAATTTTTATTGATTTTATATATTGTGTTCAAATGGCTGTTTGACCTTTTTCCCACTTGGAATCCGGACTGTATGAGGAACCAGTGGAGTTAGTGATATGCTTGAATACATTTGAATCTGGTAAGTGTAATAAAGTATGGAGTGCTTGTATTATTAAAGATGCACTCTATGTGTCTGTGGTTTCTCTCATTTCCATTTAATTTGAGTTTTAACTATGTTTAGCTTTTTATATTTGTAGATACTGGTGTGCTTATACATTTTCCTACATACTGTATATTTTTCAGATGAAGGATGGGGTTTAAAGGGACACTATAGTCACCCAGACCACTTCAGCTCAATGAAGTGGTCTGGGTGCCAGGTCCCCCAGGTTTTAACCCTTCAGATGTAAACATGTTTACATTGCAGGGTTAATCCAACCTCTAGTGGCTGACTTCCTGGCTGAAATTCGCATCCAGCGTGCAGAACGTCCATAGGAAAGCATTGAGAAATGCTTTCCTATGGACTGTTTGAATACGCGCGTGGCTCTTGCCACGCATGCGCATTCCGCTCCACTCAGGAGCTGACGTCGACGGGGGAGGAGAGGTCACCAGCGTCGAGGGAGCCTGGTGCCGGATAAAGGTAAGTGGCTGAAGGGGTTTTAACAATATAAGAAGTCACACCACAAGGTTTACAGTTTACTTCTTACATGTGGTCAGCTGGGCACTGCTCCACACCTCCACTTTTCAAGAAGCTCACTTCAGCGGTAAGGGAGGGGGACCCTGAGGGTGGGGGGTCCTAAGGATGCTATAGTTTTAAGAAAACAAGTTTGTTTTCCTGACACTATAGTGATCCTTTAAAATGTTTAATCAAATCATACAACACTAATTTAGGATGCACAAGACTACCGAAGATGATGTTATGTTTCATACCTTAAGAATAGATATTTGGGAAAAATCCTTTTCTTCAAAGTAGGCATGAGTAATAAGCTGGAGTTTTGCTTGAAGTAATCCATAGAGTGGCTTAAGAGAGGAAAAATGTTAAACGTTACTATGTTGCTGTTGAAAAAGCTTTGTTAGAATGGAACATTTCTACCTGTTCATGGATTGGTAGTAGGGAACATGGGAAGTTTACGAGCACACTGACAAAATGCAGGTTTGTACTTTAGGCGAATTTAAAGAAAACATAGAATTTCCATTTATAACATGCTCTTAAATTAAAAATATATTGGAAAAAAAACAAAACACAAAAACAATGTAGCAGCACGTATTAATGCACTTCTACTACACAGAATAAATTATATTTGATGTATTTATTTATGGAAGTCTACAGGGAAATGTAATAACACACCTTTAGAACTATAAATACCAGATTTTAGTTTTCATGACGTAAAGTCATGATTTTATTAATGACACAGAGGCGAGTATTACGCAGCACTCTTTTTTTTATTTCCCTCAGCAGCAAACAAATATAACGTAAAAAAAAATATCAAACATATATATATATATATATATACAGGGAGTGCAGAATTATTAGGCAAGTTGTATTTTTGAGGATTAATTTTATTATTGAACAACAACAACCATGTTCTCAATGAACCCAAAAAACTCATTAATATCAAAGCTGAATATTTTTGGAAGTAGTTTTTAGTTTGTTTTTAGTTATAGCTATGTTAGGGGGATATCTGTGTGTGCAGGTGACTATTACTGTGCATAATTATTAGGCAACTTAACAAAAAACAAATATATACCCATTTCAATTATTTATTATTACCAGTGAAACCAATATAACATCTCAACATTCACAAATATACATTTCTGACATTCAAAAACAAAACAAAAACAAATCAGTGACCAATATAGCCACCTTTCTTTGCAAGGACACTCAAAAGCCTGCCATCCATGGATTCTGTCAGTGTTTTGGTCTGTTCACCATCAACATTGCGTGCAGCAGCAACCACAGCCTCCCAGACACTGTTCAGAGAGGTGTACTGTTTTCCCTCCTTGTAAATCTCACATTTGATGATGGACCACAGGTTCTCAATGGGGTTCAGATCAGGTGAACAAGGAGGCCATGTCATTAGATTTTCTTCTTTTATACCCTTTCTTGCCAGCCACGCTGTGGAGTACTTGGACGCGTGTGATGGAGCATTGTCCTGCATGAAAATCATGTTTTTCTTGAAGGATGCAGACTTCTTCCTGTACCACTGCTTGAAGAAGGTGTCTTCCAGGAACTGGCAGTAGGACTGGGAGTTGAGCTTGACTCCATCCTCAACCCGAAAAGGCCCCACAAGCTCATCTTTGATGATACCAGCCCAAACCAGTACTCCACCTCCACCTTGCTGGCGTCTGAGTCGGACTGGAGCTCTCTGCCCTTTACCAATCCAGCCACGGGCCCATCCATCTGGCCCATCAAGACTCACTCTCATTTCATCAGTCCATAAAACCTTAGAAAAATCAGTCTTGAGATATTTCTTGGCCCAGTCTTGACGTTTCAGCTTGTGTGTCTTGTTCAATGGTGGTCGTCTTTCAGCCTTTCTTACCTTGGCCATGTCTCTGAGTATTGCACACCTTGTGCTTTTGGGCACTCCAGTGATGTTGCAGCTCTGAAATATGGCCAAACTGGTGGCAAGTGGCATCGTGGCAGCTGCACGCTTGACTTTTCTCAGTTCATGGGCAGTTATTTTGCGCCTTGGTTTTTCCACACGCTTCTTGCGACCCTGTTGACTATTTTGAATGAAACGCTTGATTGTTCGATGATCACGCTTCAGAAGCTTTGCAATTTTAAGAGTGCTGCATCCCTCTGCAAGATATCTCACTATTTTTGACTTTTCTGAGCCTGTCAAGTCCTTCTTTTGACCCATTTTGCCAAAGGAAAGGAAGTTGCCTAATAATTATGCACACCTGATATAGGGTGTTGATGTCATTAGACCACACCCCTTCTCATTACAGAGATGCACATCACCTAATATGCTTAATTGGTAGTAGGCTTTCGAGCCTATACAGCTTAGAGTAAGACAACATGCATAAAGAGGATGATGTGGTCAAAATACTAATTTGCCTAATAATTCTGCACTCCCTGTATATATATATATATATGTATATGTATATATATATATATCTAAAAAGCAGAGATCAATCTTCCTAGTAACTGGAACAGCCAATCAGCATCCATTCCTTGGCATAATAGGCGGTAACCATTAGATCACTTCCTCTTTCTTGCAATCCCGAACAGAAACAGAGCATCCAGAACCATGAAGAAAACAAATCTACAACAGGTAGCCAGTACGGAATCACCAACGTGACCTTGAAGTTAAGCTGTAAGATAGAAACAATATGGTAATATCCAAGCCGTAACTGGATGTATGGCTCTTAATTTACCGCAAAATATACAATCAATCATAATATATATCATATAATAGTATTCGAAACATTTGTAAAGGATTAACCCACATACAATAGAATCTGTATAGACTTAACATGCATCGAGACTTACCGTGAAGCAACAACTTACCCAGCCAGAATGTCAATTGGGAAGGGCGGGAGCGATAATACCGGCCTCCGTGTCATTAATAAAATCATGACTTTACCGCATGAAATAGTAAAATCTGGTAATTTTATTAAAAACACAGAGGCTCCTATGATGCTAGTTTAAAGCTGTGAAATGATCGTTCCAGCAAAATGTTGAATCGATTTAAAATAAAAATCATAAAAAGTAGATTCTGATTACCAGTCCACAGCTCACAAAATATCTTCTAATCAGCAGCCAAGTGCAGAAGCTTTAGAAGCCATAGCACCACGTGCAGAATGTGGAAAGAATACTGAAGTATCGACACCGGCTAGAGTCATAATCCATTTAACCCAATGGGCCATGAAGGAGAGGATACTGGAAGGTGTGGCTTGCGGAAGGAGATTAACAGCTGATGTTTCAGAGAATTCCATAAGGAAACAGTACAACTTTCATATTCCCGTAAATATGCCTCTGGGCAGACGAGAGGTCTCTCCGGAAAGGCTGGGTAGAGAACAGACTTGGAGGAGGTCTTGGTCCTTCTAGAGATGTCAAAAAGTACTCCTTCCGGAGTAAAAGAATGGGCGTCCGTGTCAAGAGCAAGCACATCAGAGACTCTTTTGCATGATATGAGGCAAAAAAGCTTGACTAATGTAGCGGAAAGTTGTTTGCGGAACAGCAATACATTGTCTGGCCATGACTCCAGAAAGCTGAAGACAAAAGTAACGCCCCTGAGAAAAGAGTAACGAGGCAAAAAGAGGACAGGAAAAACGCACTCTGTGAAGGAGGCGACAGACAAAGGGATGTCACGCAATAGGGATAACTTCAATGACTTTATGTTCGTCGGAAAGCGCAGTATAGGTTGAGCATGCGGTACGCTTCAAAAGGAGAATGTCATGTTTTCCAGGACTTTGGACCTCGTGCCTCCTAGATGGTTGATGTATCTGACTGCTGAAACATTGTCTATCTTCAGTAGGACTGTGAATTGGGAGTGAGTTGGAGAGAGGCTGCGCACAGCAAAGGATCGGGCCAGAAGCTCCAGGCAATTGATATGCAGTGTAGATTCTATATCTGACCATCTCCCTCCTGTGGAGATATTTCCACAACCTGTACCCAAACCGTGTAAGCCGACATCCGATTCTATGGTCAGTTCTGGGTTGGTTCTGAAGATAGCACGTCCATTTCAGGCTTCCATGTGGGGAAGCCACCAATGAAGTTCGTCTTTTGCCTCTTTGTCTAAAATCACCATGTCTTCGTAAGATGCTCCGCCTCTGAGGTACGAGGCCAGTAGTTCTTGAAGTGCCAGATAATGGAGAGGGCCTGACAATTTGGCTTGGATGGAAGCAGCTAGGAGTCCAATGACTTGGGCCAAATGTTTGAGGGAGAGTTGTGGAGTAGCCAGCGTATGTCTGATTTCGTTTTTGATATTTACGAGCTTTGCGGTTGGTAAATGTAGAGTCTGGAGAGTGGAATCGACTACTAGTCCCAGGAATACGATATGTTGGGAGGGAGCCAGCACAGATTTTCCCAGTTTATAAGGAAACCTAGGTGTGTTAGCAGCGTCAGAGTCATTGTTAGGTGTGTGTGGAGAAGACTGGCTGATTGAGCCAAGATGAGGATATCGTCTAGGTAGAGGATATGTCAGATACCCCGACTCCTTAATAGAGCAACCACAGGTTTCATGATCTTGATTAAATACCATGGGGCCAAAGACAGTCCGAATGTGAGGCACCTGAATCTCGATTTTTGACCTTGCCATGTGAACTGGAGAAAATTTTGATGTTGCTCCGCTATAAGTACCGTGAGGTATGCGTCCTGTAAATCTAATTTGGCCATCCAATCCGCTGGTTGAAGTAGGTCGCGAAGACAATGTACGTCTTCCATTTTGAAATGGTGGTAGGATACATAACTGTTCAGATGTTTTAGGTTATGACTGGTCTCACCCCACCACCTTTTTTGGGTACCAGAATAGATTGCTGACATAACCCGGAGTATGGGTCAGGATCTCAATGATGTTGTTGTGCATCAGTTCTAGAATGTCCTTGGATGCAACAATTTTCCTTGGGAAATACAATTTCTCTGGGAGGAGATGTTTGGACCGGGAATGATACAAAGTCTACCTAATAACCCGACACAGCCTAAAAGACCCAAGCATCTGACGTCAGATGCGACCACACTTGAGAAAAATTTATGAGTCTGCCCCCCCCACTACCAGTAGGAAAAAAGGGGAAGTGTTGACACTTACCATAAGGTCGTCTTCCAGAAGGAGCTCCTCGAATGCCCCTAGCGACCCAAGGTCTGCCTCTCTGCTGGTCTGCCTCTCTGCTGGTGCTGCCCTTTGCTCTTGGAAACCAGCTCGTCCCGAATAGGAGCCTCGGTTCTGTCTATAAGAACCTCTTTGTATACGGCTGGACAGATGGCTCATTCCTCTTCTGGCCCCGGCAAAAATTTGAGGGTTAAAAATTGGGCTTTATCAAAAAGGTGGACAAATGACCGCAAACTCTTTAACAAACGAGTAACCAAATAGTAACCCTTTAGCTTTTAGCTTGAACACCTGGCTTGTTAAGAGCTAAATTGATTAGTTTAGGTTCGATTTTAAGCAAGATGGACTTGCAGCACTCCGTAGCAAGGGCTGTATTTACATTGCCAACTAGGCAGATGATACGTTGGATCCAACCATGGATGGTGTCACAATCAAGATCCCAGTCGTCTTCAACCACATCAAAAAACTTTGGCAGTAGGGCCCCATATGTCCAGGACCTTGTCCTGACAGTGGGTCAATGAAAAATCCAAACCGTTTGAGTTTCCATCCAGTTTCCCCAAAAAACTTAACAATTTTATGATCCACAACTGGTGTTTTACATGCATCATCAGGGACTGTAGGGTGAGGGCATTCTGCCTGCAACTTGTTCAGTGTTGCCTTGTCCAAAGGTTTACGCACTCTGGAGTCGATGTACCTCGCTACATGCTCCAAAGGGCACCATACTGCTGAACGTGGGTGTCTCAATTCTTCTGAATCAAACAGGGGAAAACCCAGAGGATTCAGGATTTTCTCGCTGTCACCAGAGCCCTACACACTTACCTGGGTCCCGGAAACCGTAGCGGGGAAGGTGCTGCGGGAGGAAGCGGTCGCCTCTCCCCCTGCACCGTTGGAGTCTGGTTCAGACTGATCATCTGAGGCATCCATTATGGACTCATCACTCTCCTCCTCAATATCGCTTTCGCCCGCTTCCACAGTCTAGCTGATTTTGTGCTCCATCCGTGACATCAGGAAGGCTGTCTGTCAAGTGTATTTTGGAGGAATGTTTAGACTTTGCCGTAGCTTTCAGCCTTGTGGAAACGTTGTCGGTATGGATGCAGTCGACAGGGTAGTCTGCTGGGCAGAATATTGAGCCTGCATAATGCTTGAGTAAAGGTGTGTGACAAAGAAGTCGACATCATGCCCATAGCAGACATCAAAGTCTGCGTCATAGACCTGGACACGGAGGCGTTCAAAAGCACCTGCATGTCTGCAGTAGCCGGAAAATCAGGGGACAAAACCCCTTCCACCACATGGTCATCGTGGGGGACCTGAGGGGTCGCATGAGACCCAGAGGTCATGGGCAAATCTCTGTCAGACTTCATGATAAGTACAGAGTATAATAGGATAGAATAGCTAAAGGAGGAAACCTAAAATAGGGTTGATTAACCCACAAGAGAAAAAAGCTGAAATAAAAACTCACAGTTAAGTGAAACAACACAGAGAGAGGATAAGAACCGTCCATTCGCCAAAACTGCTACACCCCAACAAGGTTTAGACAGGAATAGGCAAGGCTATTCTCTCAGACAGAGACTCACTTCTTTCCGAAAACTATCAGCAAACATTAAAATCCAACTTGATTCGATGTATAGCCACCTACGATGCAGGTTGGACATACATGATGGAAACTTTTAAACGTTATTGGCCAATATTAGTGTTGGATCTGCATTTAAAAAAATGTGGTCACTCAATTTCCCTCTATAACTGCACGTTGGGGAAAAAATCTGAGTGATACTCTAGTACAAAGTCATTTGGCCCCCCCCAAAAAAATCATCTAAGCAGTACTTACCAAAGGGCATATACAGATGTGGACACTGCAGCGCATGTTTGCACATTGATAAAAACTCTAAACAATTTACGGACAGCAATGGAGAAGAAAGCTTCCCAGTTAGAAGCTTTTTTAATTGCCGGACAGAGGGAGTAATTTACCTGCTCACCTGTTCATGCGGAATAAAATAAGTTGGCAAAACTTTTCGCCCATTCAAATATAGCATTAGGGAGCATGTCAATTCGGTGAGAAGACCTTTAGAGACACCGGTCTCACGCCACTTAAAGCTTCACCATGCAATATGTCATCACCTGTATAATGATTATCACTATATCTTGAAAATGTTATGCAACATTACCTGTTGAAGTCACATTGTCTTTGTTTCAGATGTAATTATTGTATACACAACTATTGTTATGAAACTTGAAAATAAATAAAAAGCTTTACCATGCAAACTCCTCTAATCAGATTAGTTTTATAGGCATAGAACATATCCCACAACCCCAACGTAAAGGTGACTGGGACCGTAAACTTAAACAGCGCGAGTCCTATTGGATTTATAAATGAAAAACCCTCTCCCTGCAGGGTTTGAATGAGGGCTTCTCCTTCTCTGTGTTTCTATAACCCTTATAGCTCTCTGATAGGGGTTCCTTGGAAGGTTATCCCCAAACACTATCCCCTTTAGAAACTGTAAATAGTTGTAAATATATTCACTCAATGGTGTTTTATCATTTGACTGGTGGCTACCCACCTTTGAGTGTCAGCTCAATAATTGGCATGTAGGACTTAGACCAACCATATAGTTTTTGCTTGAATTTTAAATTCTACCTATCCACTTTCTCTGGATCGTGACGACACTAATGATGTCACCTATTAATGACTCCCAGGGTCATTATTGATGGGATCCACAAGCAATACAATCTCTGACAATTAACATTTAACCTCACATCTAGCTTTCTATGCCCCTGTACAGTTAACTGGATCACATTCAAATATCTATACCTGTGTAGACCCATTTAATGTATATTTTTTAGACGTCCAAATGGATCAATAGAGTGCAAATTTATTAAAATTATCCTAGGGATGGTATTCCATAGTTACATAGTTGAAAAGAGACTTGCGTCCATCAAGTTCAGCCTTCCTCACAGCGCTTCCAATTTTGCCACAAACTAGGAAAAAAATTCCATCTTGACCCCAAAATAGCAGTCAGATGTGTCCTTGGATCAAGCAGCTATTACCCCACTAATTAGAAATGATATCCCTGTATGTTATGTTTTTGCAAGTATTTAACCAATTGCAGTTTAAACATCTGTAATGACTGACAAAACCACCTATCAGGCAGAGAATTCCATATCCTTATTGCTCTTACTGTAAAAAAAAAAAACCTTTCTTTGCCCTGTTTATAAATAAATTTCCAGATAAAGGTTTGTACTGGCCCCAAATATATTTGTATAATATTATCATATCCCTTCTCAGGCGCCGTTTTTCCAAACTAAACATATTAAATTTTTTGAACCTTTCTTCATAACTAAAATGTTCCATTCCTTTTATCTATTTTGTAGCTCATCTCTGGACTTTTTCTAGTGCCATGATATATTTCTTTAGAACAGGCGCCCAAAATTGCACAGCATATTCAAGGTGTAGTCTTAAAAGCGCTTTATAAAGAGGCAAAATTATATTTTCATCCCGAGAATTTATGCCCCTTTTTATATATGACAACACCTTACTGGCCTTAGCAACTGCAGATTGCTGCCTAATTTGTTGTCTATAACAATTCCCAAATCCTTCTCATGTGTGGTTATCCCTAGTTCACTACCATTTAGGGTGTAAATTGCTTGAGCATTCTTAACCCCGAAGTGCATAACTTTGCATTTCTCTACGTTAAATTTCATCTGCCAAATCCCGCTGCATCAAAGCAATATACTGCTCACATTTTATTACTTTACAAAGTTTTGTGTCATCTGCAAACACTGATACATGGTTTTCAATGCCTATTTCAAGATCATTTATAAATATGTTAAATAGAAGCAGTCCCAAAACAGAACCCTGAGGGACACCACTTACCACTTTTGTCCAGCCTGAAAATTTACCATTAATGACAACTCATTGTACTCTATCCTTAAGCCAATGTTCTACCTAAGAACAAGAATATTCATCTAGACCAATTTCTTTTAGTTTGAAGACTAACCTATTGTGAGGAACTGTATCAAATGCCTTTGCAAAATCCAAGTAGATCACATCCACTGCAACACCCTCATCTACACTTCTACTTACTTCTTCATAGAACGCAATTAGGTTAATTTGACATGACCTATGTTTCATAAAACCATGCTGATTATTGCCAATAGCAAAGTTCTTCCCAATGAATTCTTGAATATTATCCCTTAATAGTCTTTCAAATATTTTCCCAGTTACAGAAGTTAAGCTCACAGGTCTATAATTTCCAGGCAAGGATTTTGAACCCTTTTTAAATATAGGAACAACATCTGCCTTTCTCCAATCCTCCGGTACAATACTTGAAACAAAAGAATCTTGAAAAATTAAATACAAAGGTTCACTTATTTCCCCACTTAGCTCCTTAAGTACTCGTGGCACCTTGTCTCGAGTTATCCAATCACAAGTTATCTGCAAGTTTTGTGCAGCAATCATTTGCATATCTCTTGCCATAGGATCCTCATTAATATATACTGAAGAAAAATAGTTATTTAAAATGTCTGCTTTTTCCTGGTCTTCATTAGCTAATAAACCCAACTCTGTTCATTCAATCATTGCGCCCGTGTATGGAAGGTATGATGAGGGGCGTACCCCGACAGAGTGCGGGTGCCCCCTTGAGGAGGTTCCACACTGACAGGTTGATAAGAGAGGAGGGATATGCAGCATTGTTAACCCCTCCTCCATTCGGTGCGAGCACCAATGGGAGTCTAGGGGCGGGTCCTGCACTACGTGTACTTGAAGGAGCTACCCCTGATCAAACATGTTTGATCGGGCTAAACCACGCCCGACGGACGATATGTGGCGGCTCTGTATGGTAATCATTGTGCCCGTGTATGGTATGATGAGGGGCGTACCCCGACGGAGTGTGGCCGCCCCCTTGAGGAGGTTCCACACTGACAGGTCGATACGGGAGGAGGGATGTTCCTCCCTTAGCTGTCTTGCAGCCCAATATAGGAGGGAACAACCGGAATTGGAGTGAGATACACATATTCTATGCATTAAGAAACTGATTGGTCCTACTGCACACAGCAGATGACATTTTATTTTCAATTAAGGACCTATATAAGGTTAGCCTAACCAGTCAATACTTATTGCTCCTGACGACGGCGTGCTGACACGCCAAAACGCGAGTCGAGCTACTTGTCTTTTTATTATTTTCACTACACTTTGGTAGCACTATGCACTAGGTTTTGTAGTTAGTTAAATTTTTTAAGTCTTTTGAGTGGAGGAAGGGACAGAGGTTCCGCTAGGCATTAGTGGTTTATCCACGGTGCCGAGGTACTATAGGGAGAGCCTTTACCTTAGAGTTCTGCTGTGGGGAATGAGGGGGGTCTTTTCTGTGTCTCTCTCCCCCTCCCTTTACTTTTTACCTCTGTAGACGCCAGTCCACTGTTTAGACAATTGGACATTATTATTATTATTATTTTTTCAGACTTTTTTTAGCTGATCTCTAAACAGCTTTTTTTGCTGCATGCCCCTGTGTATGATTTGGATAGACATCATACATTTTTTTTGCCTTTCCTTCCTTTGTTGGTTATAACTTCTATTTTTTGTTTCCCTTCAGGTTCAAAAAAGGTAGGGCCTCCTTTTTAAATATGTTATTCTCCACTTGGACTTCTAGTCTGTCGTTTTGTGTTTTAAAAAAAAAAATAAAAAATAAAAAAAAAAACTATAAACATACTGAAACCTTGTTTGATAAAATACAAATTAACCTCTTAAAATAAGTACAAACTGGAAGTTAATATTCTAGTTTTAGCCCAACTCACAGAAGTTGGCAGACACTTCCCAATTCAATTACCAACCTAAGAAACATGGCCAAGCTGGAAGATAATTATATAAATTTGAAGCGACCCAGGAAAAGTGAGTGGAAGTTATTAAAAGAAACTAGAAAAACGAAATGCTCACTATGGACATAATGTAAAAATAAAAAGCTGTGAATTTCTACTACCAGCAAGTCTGGGTTTCATACTAAACAGAGAAACACATCCTAAAATTGTTAGATGTATAATCTAAAATATAAACCTAGGACAAAGAAAAGACAAAAAGAAACATTTGATTGCTTCGAGGGAGGAACTACACATATTATCCAAAGCACAGCTAAGATGAAACTTAGAAATCCACAGAAGGGCTCACAAGCTGCCGCTTGAATGCTCAAAGGCTGACTTGGTAACAGTCACTATAGAAAAGAAAGAGATAGACTCTAAGACAGTCTAGTGCCCAAGTTCCAGAACCCTTGCTCTTCACCTGACCTGAATCTGACATACCAGAAATGTGAAATGGGGAGTCAATTAAATGTAAGTGTAACTCAATTGTATTAGTAGATGACAATTTAACCCTTATAACACCAGGCCAGCAGAGAAAAAAAAAACAGTCCATCCATAAAAGCCCTGGAAAATGATTTAAGATACACCTTCCATAAGTAGAATAAATCTAGATGATTTACAGTAAAGTAAATTCTCAGTCTAATAACTCGTGTCTTGATGCTGCATCTCATATGTTATCTTATAGGAGTTATAATCTCAAGGGTAAAATATATTTTACCTCATTAATCCCTTTCCTGCACAGATAGCAGGGGATCTGATACTAATCAGACAAAACTGAGGATAACCACAGGTTACAATAAAATTCCACCAGTAATTTAGATTGGCAGCAAACAGAATTGATAATGGTCAAACTATAGAGAAAAACTCAAGCTTTTAGATAATAAGCTTATTTGGGTAGGCCCCACTTCACCTACCATTCCTGCATGACAAAACAGGTTTTGTAGGATTGTTTGTTTTAGTTAAGATATAGCTTGGTTGCTTCATCTAAGTGTTGCTTCTAAGTGTGTGGTTGGAGATATTCTGGAGATAAACTGGAGATAATCTGAAGTATTCAGGAGGATAAATAAAAAGTTAAGATTCGTTTGATTTAAATTATTCTCCTCATTGGAATGGCAGACTTAGTTCAGTGTAATAGTTGCTATGCATTTGTTTCACGTTCCACTTTTTGGAGGTTTGGTTGTTGCCTAATCTGTTGACAGTTCTCTATCTTGCAGCAGGAGATTGTATTTTTGAAGTCTGAGATTTGTAAATTATCTGATGAACAAACTCAGACTGGAACTGCTGCAAAGCCACTGCCGCAGAGACCTACTAGGAATGGCAGATGGATTACTGTAGGATCTGGTAGACTTAGAGTTGTGGATAAAAGGCATATTGCACAGTCTGTTGCTCTACATAATTCATTTTCTGCACTCTCAGAGTGTAATGGTGTTGTGGAGAGAGGCACTGAGGGTAGTGATGTTGTGGAGAGAGGCACTGAGGCTAGTGGTGTTGTGGAGAGAGGCACTGAGGCTAGTGGTGTTGTGGAGAGGGGTACTGAGGCTAGTGGTGTTGTGGAGAGGGGCACTGAGGCTAGTGGTGTTGTGGAGAGAGGCACTGAGGCTAGTGGTGTTGTGGAGACCGGCTTGGAGTCTATGGTGAGGCCTAATAGAAAGCAGTTGTTGTTGGGGTATTCCATCATAAGAGGTGTGGAGATGGACAATGGTGGTCTTGTGAGGTGTCTTCCCGGAGCTACTGCTCACAGAGACAGGCGACGTATCTGTAATATTGTTAAGCGAGCAAAGCAGGAAGGGGAATTGGATGTACTTGTCCATCTAGGGACAAATGACTTGGCTTGCAATGAGGTTTCAGAGGTTAAGGAAGTTTTTAGTGTTTTTGCCAATGATATACGGCAGGTTGCTTCCACACTGTCATTCTCTGAAGTTCTGTCTGTGCATAACACTCAGAACGACAGGCGGATGCGTATTAGGGACTTTAATTTGTGGCTTGGTGAATGGTGTCGGGAGCAAGGATTTGGCTTTATTTTTCATGGTAGCTCTGTTTGGAATGGAGATAAGCTGTACAAAAAAGATTGTTTGCATCTTTCTCAAAAGGGAACAAATGTTCTCAGTGAGCAGTTCAGAGGTTTTGCTAGGATATATTTAAACTAGGAGAAGGGGCAAAAGGATGATAAAACATCAATCCAATTGTCCCCCAAAACAAGGACAGAAGGTGCTTGTAGCAAGTGTGTTAAAAAATTATAAGCTTAGAGTCATGACTACAAATGCTCGCAGTTTAGGGACTAAGATCCATGAACTTGAGGCAATAATGGCAACTGATAGTGTAGATTTAGTCGCTGTTACGGAGACATGGTATAATGAGAAAAATGACTGGGACATAGCAATACCAGGGTACGCTTTATATAGGAAAGATAGGGAAGGCAAGAAAGGGGGAGGAGTGGCCCTGTATGTGAAGGATAGCATAAAATCTAGCCTAATAAAAGTTAGTGAGGCGAACTTTTTGGGTTATGTTAGAATTTGGTAATCACACAGTAACTCGTGTAGGTGTGATTTATAAGCCCCCAGGACAAATTGAAGAGTTAGATAATCTACTAGTTGAGGAAATAGCTAAAATGACAATTAAGGGGGAAGTTATCATCATGGGTGACTTTAATCTTCCTGATGTAAATTGGAAAGGAGCACACATATTCTAAACTCCCTACTGGGATTGTCTCTGAAACAAGTCATTGAGGAGCCAACTCGTAAAAAGGCCATACTAGATTTAGTGTTAACAAATGGACATTTGGTATCAGATATTACTGTAGGTGAAAGTTTAGGATCCAGTGATCATCAGTCAGTGTGGTTTAATATAAGAACAGTGACTGAGTCACATCACACAAAAACAAACGTTTTAGACTTTAGAAAAACAGGTACAAGCTTGCTGAAACAAACCAATAGGTACTTACTTTAACTCCTTAAGGACCAAACTTCTGGAATAAAAGGGAATCATGACATGTCACACATGTCATGTGTCCTTAAGGGGTTAAACGTGCTTGTGCCTTCTATATGGATAACAAGGCTATAAGGAATTAGTTGCCTAATTGCCTCTCTGTTTGTTGGACAAATTGGCAGAGCACACAGAGGCTAATGTGGATTTCACCTGGCAGACATTTCCAAATTAACTTATTTATGAAAGAAAGACTATTAAGATGAAAGCTACGCGTCTCACCTCAATAAGCCTCTGGTGTGCTGAAGGGCTGGTGAGAGCACACTAGTAACTAATCAGATAGTTACTGCTGGGTTTAATTATCCTGCCTCAGGCTCCAGATTCAAGAGTTCTCACCAGGTGCCGAGATCGCTTTGTGCACGTGCATAGCACTCTGCGATTCTTAAATGGAATGCAACAACACCTAAGTGTGCTGTCCACATATGGAGCCTCCCAGCTGTGCGTACAGACGTACCTTCGCCTCTTCCGTCACCCGGCATGGATTGAGCCCGTTGTGTGTTCATATCCTATTATAATTAAAGGACAAGCGTACTGGCCAATTAGACCTTCAAAACCAAGACGGAGCCCTCCAGGAGCCGCAGCCCCCTCACCACCAAAACACAAAAAAAGGTGAATAGCTTCACCAATTCTGCCAAAGGAAGGCAGAGCTCTGCTACCTGACCTGTCTCTCTCGAGGACAGGCAAATACTGGGGAGCTCAGGGTGGAGTTGCCTTTTATAAGACTAGGAGGGGAGGAGACTGGGGGTGGGGACTGCATTTTGTTGTTTTAACCTTTTCAATGCTACCTGTCCTGTGATAAATGGGCAACTACATCCCACTTGTTATGACTGCCGCTTGGACATCTGGAAAAAGTAGGATGTTTAAAATGGTGAGATCATGGACATGTCTTCAGAAAGAGGAAAAATGTGGCAAAACATTTATTTTGCAAAAACTATATAATACTTAGCAGCAAAGAAATACAAGTTATTTATTTAGGTCAAAAGCTTATGCAAGAAAGTTTCTTGGCGTGTCATTTTTAAGTTTCTTTTAAGCTTATTATTTTATAATGTGCAATTTTACTATATTCTGACTAATGGATTTAAAGCAGTTTTCCTTATCAAACTGCTATATATATTGTAGAAAAACACCAGATTCAATCAGTACTACAGACAGAGCTAAGTGTTTTAATATATATTGTTTATTTTAGTATAGTAATGCCATTTTTATATCCTAAATGCACCCCTTCTCCCCATCCCTGCACATCTTAACCTAATTAAATTGCACTCTGGCAGAAATAGAACATCAATCCATTGCAATGGTTAAGACAGTGTTAATAACTATTCACATTGTTACTGTCTGCATTTCTAATTATTTAAAGAAACAGATTAGTTCATTCATTTCCTATAAAATGTACAAAACCAGTGTCTTACCAGCTGACTCAATACACAAACACTTTTTTGCACAGTTTCCCTGGTAACATCTGCCTGACGCACTTTCAATGTCTGTGAAAAAAATAAAAACAAAGATTTTTGTCAATGTACTATTTTTCAAAAAGACACCATACTTCCCAGAATAACAATTAAAAAAAAATTGATACATAAGAAATATACAAATGCAGAGGGGTGAAGCAAAAGCAAATTCATGTAAACAATGATCAGTGTTATCCCTAATGTTTCATGTAATTACTGCACTAAATAATAGGGACTTGGTAGCTGAATCGTATGCATGGATTCATTATTAATCATTTGCGGCCCTATGTCGGAATACATCCAACAAAATATTTTACCTCTTGCGGTCCAATGTCGAATCTTCCCTGGAGAGTACCGCTGATACTCTGTGCTGGGACCTCCAAGCCGGTTTTGCACATTCCTTGTACCTGGCATGGAGGATCGGCTGAACTCTCCAGGGTCTGACATTGCACCGCAAGAGGTATTGTTGGATATATTAGCTTAACAAGGGGGTAAACAAACATTAATAAATGTGTTTTTACAACGGACGGTCCTTGTCATTTGTTACCGGAGAAATCAAACATCAGCAGTTCAATAAAACTTAAAAAAAACTTGGTTTAAAAAGAAAAAAGAAATCTCTCTTTGCTTAGAGAAACACTTGCTGGCATGGTAACCCCTTCCCAAAGAAAAAAATATAGATGTTAAAGGGACCCTATAGTCACCAGAACAACTACAGCTTACTGAATTTGTTCTGGTGAGTAGAATCATTACCTTCAGACCTTCAGAGAAAATGCAGTGTTTACATTACAGCCTAGTGATAACTTCACTGGTCACTCCTCAGACGGCTATTAGAGATCCTTCCTGGATCATGGCTGCCTAAAATACATCCAAACATTCAGTATCTCCTCCCTCTGCATGCATACACTGAACTTTCCTCATAGAGATTCATTGATTCAATTCATCTCTATGGCCAGGGCTGTGTTTGAGTTGTGCTGGCTCTGCCCCTGATCTGCCTCCTTGTCAGTCTCAGCTAATCCTATGGGGAAGCATTGTGATTGGATCAGGACACCCATTCTTATGATGTCAGATGTCAGAGAAAGTTCACAGGCAGAGGCAGCAGCTTCCGACTTGAATACAAGTAGGATTTTACTATCTTTAGGGAGGCAAAGGGGGCTAAGGGGGCTAGACAGTGGTTTTAACACTATAGGGTCAGGAATACATGTGTTATGATATTGATGTTACAAAGTTTTGGAGTCCAGTAGCCAGATCAGCAATGTTTTCTGCCAGAGGTAGCCACTCGTTACCCAGGTGGTTGAACCCCTTCTGGTCTTAAGCAGAGATGGGAGACTGGAACAGAAAGATGATAATCGTAGTGAGGCAAGCCGAGGTCAGTGGGAAGGAGAAGCAGCAAAGTCAAAACAGTCCAAATTCAGCAACAGGAAGGAGAAACAGGAACACGCTTGATTAGAGAGTACAGGAACCACAATAATCTGGCAAAGGTACAGAGACAGGAAAACAGTAGGAACTCACAGGTCCCATATGAATATTGTGTGTTCGTTTAACTAAATGAGACATAGTGCATCTTAACATAGTGCATCTTAACATAGTGTGGTGACACGCAGGTCACTTATGAGAGCTTATGTTAGAGACCTAATAGAGGTCGATATTCTTATGTGGAGAATCGTTGTACTCAGTTGGGATGCTCTGTTATTTTTTGTTTAGGATCATCTGGTTGTGAAATGCTTTCGTGGTATAGGTCGAGTGGGTTACGTAGGCCCTATGCTAGTTTTGCTAAGGTTGGTATTAGTTTTATATGTGTTATATCCATGTGAGTACGTATGTCAGTGGCTCCCAAGGGTTTCGAGGTGTCGGGTCCTAAATTCGTATTCCTTTATAGTCTGTTATCTGCGTAATGTGTTTTTGGATGAATAGTAAGTAGGATGTAGAGGTAACTCTAGTGGCATGGGTATCATGCGGTCGTGCTTGGCTGGTATGAGTGGCGTCTGTTTTCATTGTGTGGTGGACTCCCAGGTTCATCCCACTTATGTTGTTTTCCCTCCCTCCCTCCCTGTGCCTTGTGTCCTAGCCTTGCTTAAGTTAGTCAGCTGGGTTGTTTGTATGTGCGATGTGGGTCTCATGGAAAGGAGAGCTATCTTCGTTCCGTGTGGGATCGTTGTTCTAGGATCAGGATTTTCAGTCTCTAGAGTGATAGTGTGTGTGGTTCGCTCAGGGGTCTCCTGTTGTCTATCCCCATCTTGGGTGTTGGTGCATGAGTCGGCTGTGGCGGCTTGGGTTCTATGGGAGGTCCGTATGGTGTTGTTCATTGGGTTCGGGAGGTTGTTGCGAATACAGTACGCTGCTACATCCTGTGGCCTCATTGGTTGCGTTCGTGGGGCGGCTGTGTGTTGGTGGTGTGTAGATCCTGTGAGTGTTGTGGTTGTAGTGTGTGTGATTTGTTTGGGGGGGGGGGAAGGTGAGGGGGGGCCCTCCTAGCTCCCTTCCCCGTCCGCCGCGTCTCTCTCATCTCGTCGCGCCATGTACATTATCCAAGGTTGCCATTTGTCAATGTGTTTCGTGAGGGTGTCTCGTATGGTCGCGTGCATTTCTTCTGCGAATCTGCTCTCTTCTACCCTGCTTAGCCATTGCTCCATTGTAGGGGCGTTTATCATTTTCCATAGGGCAGGGATTAGAGCCTTGGCCATGTCGAGAAGGTGTCGTAGGATGGATCGTTTGTATTTTGAGATCGGGTCTTTAGTGTGATGCAGGAGAGTGTTGTCTATTGACAATTGCGTCGTGTCCCCTAGCACGTCTTTAATGCGAGCCGTAATCTGGTTCCAGAACGGTTTGATGTTGGGGCAGTCCCACCAGATATGTTTTAGTGTTCCGGTATCTCTGTCTCACATCTCCAACAGGTCGCCGAGGTGTTGGGGAATATTCTGTGGAGTAGGTCTGGGGTTCTGTACCAGAATGTCAATAGCTTATAGTTCATTTCTTGGTATTTTGAGCTAATCGTAGATTTGTGATGAAGGATGAGAATTTTGTCCCATTGTGCGTCGGTGAAGACTTTGTCGGTGATGCTTTCCCATTTTTCTTTATATCTTCGAGTTGCTTGCTGATCATCCGTGATTAGGTATTGGTAGAGCGTCTCCGTTGGTTTCTGAATTGGTGTTTGTTTGTCGCAGATGTCCTCAAACCACGTGAGGGTTCTGTGCACCTCTTGTTTGTTCGGGAGGGTGTGGTAGAAATGCGTCAGCTGGGAGTATCTGAATCTGTGCATGGGCGCTGGCGGGCCTTCCATTAGGCGTTCCGGGGGGGGTCAGTCCAGTGGCGTTTAGCGTTTTGTGGAGTGGGATGAAGTCCGCTCCCTGCAGAAAGTCCCAGGCCTTGGTCGGTAGTCCTCCCCCTAGTGCTTGGTTGTGTGTTAGTGTGGTCATCGGGCTGGGTGTTGGGGAGATGGTCGCTGTGTTCCTCATTGTTGACCATATTCGGAGGGTGTGGCTCGCCGGGGAGGGTGCGCCAGGATCGTTGTTCCGTGGCGTTTTCTGATTCCATAGGGATGCAAAAATGGATGGGCTGCATGATTCTTTGTCCAAGGCCACCCATTGTTTGCATCTCGGGTTAGTGTGCCATTCCAGTATCCGTTGTAGGGCTGTCGCTTGGTGGTATTTGCGCAGGTCTGGGAGTGCCAATCCGCCCTGTCTCCTGGTCTTGCATAGTATTTCATATCTTAGTCGAGGTCTGCATCCTCTCCAGACATAGGTCAGGAATGCGGTTTTCAGTGTCGCGAAAAAGGTCGTCGGTAATGCCACTGGGATTGTATGGAACAGATATAGTAGTCTGGGTAGTATATTCATTTTGATGACCGCTATGCGGCCGAACCATGAGATGTGTGGATAATTCCACGTTCGGAGATCATGTTGAATGCGCGTGAGGAGTGGGAGGAAGTTTTTCTGGTAGATGGTGCTGGGGTCCGCCATCACCCATATCCCCAGGTATTTCATTTGGGTTTGGCACCACCGGAACGGGAAGGTCGAGGCTATATCTCTGTGTTCCCCCAATGGGTCCGTGATGTTGAGCAGTTCGCATTTGCTTAAATTAAGTTTGAGGCCCGAGAGGTGTCTGTATTTTTCAAGTTCTTCCATTAGGCAAGGTAGGGTGAGTCTTGAGCGTGTAATGAAGAATAACATGTCGTCCGCATACGCGGCAACTTTGTGTGTGGCGGTTTTACAGGTGTAGCCCGTGATGTTAATATTTCGCCGGATTGCCTCCAATAGAGGTTCCAATGTTAGTGCGAACAATAGCGGGGAAAGGGGGCAACCCTGACTCGTACCGTTTCGAATTGGGAAGGACTCCATCAGGCCTCCGTTAACGCGTTCCGCTGCCATCGGGGTGCTGTAAATCGCTCCGATCCATTTCTGTATGTTGTCGTTAAACCCCAAAAGACGTATCACCGTTTTCAAGAATGCCCAGTCAACTCGGTCGAACGCCTTTTCGGCGTCCGTGGAGAGTAGCAGGAGTGGGGATCCGTGTTGTCTCGCCAGATGTTGTATAGCGAGGACTCTCAGAGTGCTATCTCGAGCCTCCCGTTCCGGTATGAACCCTGTTTGATCAGGGTGCGAAATCTAGTTTTTAATTTTTTTCCCCCCCTTTCTTCAAACTGAGAATTAGTTTGCTTGCGTGAGTGCATGACAGGACACATGAATATGCTCGCCAAATCCAATCCTGTGTACAGACGTAAGCACCAATTGAATACTTCATTCATTATGCAAACAGTTGTATCTGTCTTTTTTTCTTTTAAGTTAAAGACAGATTGCTAGTAGCTCTATAAAGCATGCATTATAAAAAGTTCTCAAAACACAAAGGTTGAATGAGACTTTCTTTAACTACCCATGTTCAACTCTCCTAATACTTTTTTTCAACAGAATGAGGTGATGATCATTGCTGCTTTACACTATACATGAGATCTGTCATTCACTAGGATGGGAAAATGCTAGACTTTTGCAAAAAGTTAGTGTAAAGCAAATTGTCCAAATCAAATTCCTGTTAAACGGAACAAATCAATTGCGAATTGATCTTACCTGTAGACTCCACAGGTAATGCCACAGGTAGGTATACAGGGAGTGCAGAATTATTAGGCAAGTTGTATTTTTGAGGATTAATTTTATTATTGAACAACAACCATGTTCTCAATGAACCCAAAAACTCATTAATATCAAAGCTGAATATTTTTGGAAGTAGTTTTTAGTTTGTTTTTAGTTTTAGCTATGTTAGGGGGATATCTGTGTGTGCAGGTGACTATTACTGTGCATAATTATTAGGCAACTTAACAAAAAACAAATATATACCCATTTCAATTATTTATTATTACCAGTGAAACCAATATAACATCTCAACATTCACAAATATACATTTCTGACATTCAAAAACAAAACAAAAACAAATCAGTGACCAATATAGCCACCTTTCTTTGCAAGGACACTCAAAAGCCTGCCATCCATGGATTCTGTCAGTGTTTTGATCTGTTCACCATCAACATTGCGTGCAGCAGCAACCACAGCCTCCCAGACACTGTTCAGAGAGGTGTACTGTTTTCCCTCCTTGTAAATCTCACATTTGATGATGGACCACAGGTTCTCAATGGGGTTCAGATCAGTGAACAAGGAGGCCATGTCATTAGATTTTCTTCTTTTATACCCTTTCTTGCCAGCCACGCTGTGGAGTACTTGGACGCGTGTGATGGAGCATTGTCCTGCATGAAAATCATGTTTTTCTTGAAGGATGCAGACTTCTTCCTGTACCACTGCTTGAAGAAGGTGTCTTCCAGGAACTGGCAGTAGGACTGGGAGTTGAGCTTGACTCCATCCTCAACCCGAAAAGGCCCTACAAGCTCATCTTTGATGATACCAGCCCAAACCAGTACTCCACCTCCACCTTGCTGGCGTCTGAGTCGGACTGGAGCTCTCTGCCCTTTACCAATCCAGCCACGGGCCCATCCATCTGGCCCAGCAAGACTCACTCTCATTTCATCAGTCCATAAAACCTTAGAAAAATCAGTCTTGAGATATTTCTTGGCCCAGTCTTGACGTTTCAGCTTGTGTGTCTTGTTCAGTGGTGGTCGCCTTTCAGCCTTTCTTACCTTGGCCATGTCTCTGAGTATTGCACACCTTGTGCTTTTGGGCACTCCAGTGATGTTGCAGCTCTGAAATATGGCCAAACTGGTGGCAAGTGGCATCGTGGCAGCTGCACGCTTGACTTTTCTCAGTTCATAAAACCTTTCGAGCCTATACAGCTTGGAGTAAGACAACATGCATAAAGAGGATGATGTGGTCAAAATACTCATTTGCCTAATAATTCTGCACTCCCTGTATTTATTCTAAAAGATAAGCAGGTAAAAATCCTACCTTTGCTTCAATCTGTCTGTAGCAAGAAACACCATAAACTGTTTTCCGGTCCCCGCTCCTTGGAGGGAGATGAAAAAATACAGTGTCTAAAATGAAGAAAAGATAATTAAATAATCAGAAAGTCAAATTATTCATCCTCAAAGATTGCATGCAGTTAAAAGAAATTTCCTGCTTGTGATTAAGTGATACAGTCTGTATTCTCATTCTCTGGATATAACTCCTGCCCTGAGCTGTGGGAAATGCATCCTAGGTATATATATATATATATATATATATATATATATATATATACTAAACTAGAGCAAAAAGGAGTTAAAATACATCCATAGAAACACATTACTAAGGAATCAATTTTCAATAAACAAGTTTTAATAGCCAATTTCCTCAATCAGCTGGTGAATGAATACTTATCCAAAACTAGATGACCCCTTTAAAGCGGCACTGTCATGGCCGAACCCTGCTTTTTAACCCCACTACATCTAGTTGTCCCACTAGTGACCCCCAAATGCCGCTAAGCCCCTCATATTACCTATTTTTGCATTTTTATTTTGCGCCCGGACCTAGGTCCTGGGCACCGCCATCTTTGTGTGGGTAGATGAAGTCCCTGTTGGACACGTCATCTGCCCACACTAGATAGCACTGTGAAATTCCCGCGCATGCCCAGTTAAACACTTGGGCATTCGAACGGGAATTTCATCTATTCATTCGTTAGAAAGAGGACTAAATGGATAGAAATTTTAAACGAATGAGCTACCAACAGCTTCCTCCTTGTAATATGTAAAAATAGAAGTGGCAGGGAGCAGTGCTCTCCGCCATTTCCTAAGCCCCCCATGTCCTCTCTCACTCCATGGGGGTCAATATGACACCCATAATAGCATAAGAAGAATAGCATTAAAATATCCCAAATGCCCCTACTCGCTATGCCGTGAGTGGCTCACTGTTGTAAAAAAGAAAAAAGTCCCCCCTCTAAACAAATGCCCCATGGGGGCATCTATTAACTAGCGTCCCCACCATTTAGGGGCCCTAAATGAACTAAATGAAAATGGGGGGACAACCCATTGTCCTCCCCCCGACCTCCACCCATGAGCGGCGGGTGGGGCCCAAAATTACAATAAGGGGGGGGGACTTATTGTCCTCCCCCACCCGAGCAGTGGGTGGGGGGCCTAAATAACAATAAGTGGGGAAACCTATTGTCCTCCCCCCCAGCCCCCGACACTGAGTGGCAGGTGGGGGCCCTAAATGAAAATGGGGGGGGTGGATACAAATTAAAAAAAAAAAAAAAAATTTAAACAGTTAGCAGCCACTGACAGAAATGGGCATTTCCAATGCTTTTGCTCTTTTGTTATTATCCACTTCCCATTTTGTGAAACTAAAATTTTTGCTGCACATCACAGCTATTTTTCTTGGTCTTACCCATTGTGACGAATGGCTAAGGGAATTTAGCCTGTGTTACCTCATATTTATATCCCTGTGAAACAGGAATCACAGTTGAACAATTTCCTGTTCCTAGTCACCCAGGTGTACTAAAAAAGTTAAATCCCAATCGGAATATACTTCAAATATACTTTTCTCATATGAATTCATAGGGGTGCTAATAATTTTCCCACATATGTATTTAACAAATATTTATAAACCTGTGTTGTGTGTGGAATTGAGAGCAGATGATTTTTTGTGTAGATTTTGAACAAAAAGTCAAGCAAAAAAATTAAAAAAATTCAAGTTTACCAAGGGTGCCAATATTAGTGGAAGTCACTGTATATGTATAGTTATTCAGTATTAAAATTTGCTATGAAAATTAAAGGATATAAAATTACAAAGAGCTAAAAGACAACAAAAACACAGTTTCAAAATTTACCATTCTTGAGAGTGCTGCATTAAAGTTTTAAGTTACTCAAGCACCATGACCACTTCAGTGATTTGAAGTGGTAATGGTGCCTCGAGTCTGTATGTGCAGTGTTTTGTTTCCCAATGCTTCACATACAGAGTTTAACCCCTTTGCAGCTGGAAGTGTCATCAGGCAGTTTGGAACTTCTGGGCTGGTTAATGTCAGCTCTGTGCAACTTTCAATGGCAGCTGAAAGGCAACGTCTGCAGCATTCGGGGCTCTGCAGAAGCTAGAAGGGTTTTGCCCGATCACTAGAGAGCAGTGAAGCCTAGCAGGGACTCTGGTAAGGGGGTAATCAGAGCTTACAGCAGAGATAAGGTAAAAAGGTGCTCCTGGTGGACCATAGATATGAAATGAAAACATTACCATATGGTTTGACTACTTACAGGTGGGTAGTGCTAGGGCACTCCTGATCCGATAAACATTACAGCGTGCTGTAGCTGGTATGGTACTTGGAATGTTCCTTTAAGTGAATTGGTACATAACGGTTTTAAATAAAATGTTTTTAGAAACCGGATAAAAAAAAAAAAAAAATGATCTGTTTTGCAACGTATAACATGATTCCCTTCCCTTCGTTTCTTTGTGTCTATCTTCTATGGTATCAAATTGACCTTGCCAAAAAACAAAACAAAAATAAAAACAAACAAATCAAAAACATAATACCTCAGACATGCAAATCTAGATCAGTGGGCAAGCTGCTTCTTTCTTTTCTTTCTTTCTTTTTTTTTTTTTTAAATGAATAATCTGTAACTATTTGTGGAGGAAGTAAGAACGAAGAGATTAATAATGTCAAACAAAATGGGGAACCAAAGGTTTTACAAAATGAGAAGCACTAAAATTTCTAAAGAAACAGTGTCTCTATAATATATGGTTTTCATAGCAAGATCTGTTATTAAAGGGAAACTATAGGCTAGGAATACAAAATTGTATTCCTAACACTATAGTACCCTATAGTGCCCTCCTCAATTGCGCCCCCCATGCAGCACAGAAAGGATTAAAAACCCTTCTATCACTTACCTGAATCCAGCGCCAATGTCGCTCGGCGCTGGGTCAGGCTTTGTCTCCACTCATCTTTGCTAGAGTAAAAGTGCTGCAATCGCATTAGGACAACTCAATTGAATCAATGCTTTCCTATGTAGTTTTAGCCAACACTGGATGTCATCATGTATACCGTGACGCTGCGCAGGCTACCAAAAGTCACCCAACAACATGGAAGTGGCTCTAGTGGCTGTCTGATAGACTGCCACTAGAGGTGGTGTTAACCCTGCAATGATACAGTTACGTAGGCTGAAAAGAGACATGCTTTCATCATACAAACATAGAATGTGACGGCAGGTAAGAACCATTCGGCCCATCAAGTCTGCCCAATTTTCTAAATACTTTATCTTATAGCTAGGATAGCCATATGCCTATCCCATGCATGCATAAATTCCTTCACTGTGTTAACCTCTACCACTTCAGCTGGAAAGCGATTCCATGCATCCACTACACTCTCAGCAAAGTAATACTTCCTTATATTATTTTTAAACCTTTGCCCCTCTAATTTAAGACTATGTCCTCTTGTTGTGGTAGTTTTTCTTCTTTTAAATATAGTCTCCTCCTTTACTGTATTGATTCCCTTTATGTAGTTAAATGTTTCTATCATATCCCCCTGTCTGGTTTTTTCTCCAAGCTATACATGTTAAATGGACACTATTGTCACCAGAACAACTACAGCTTAATGTAGTTGTTTTGGTGAGTAGAATAGCTCCCTTCAGGCATTTTCATGCAAACACTGCCTTTTCAAAGGGACACCTCCAAGTGGCCCCTCTTCAGATAGCCACTGGAGGGGCTTCCTGGCTCAGGGCTGCACAATAAGCAGCCCTGCCGTTCAGCGTCTTCACGCTCTGCATGGGGATGCTGAACTTTCCTCATAGAAATGCATTGAATCAATGCACCTCTATTAGGAGTTGCTGATTGGCCAAAACAGTGTTTTGCAGATTTTAGCCAATTCAATACTTTCCCCTAAGGGAAAGCATTGGATTGGCAAAAAATCGGCCATTAAGATGATGTCACCAAGGGGGCAGGGCCAGCGCTGAAAATAAGGTGAGTTTTAACCCATTCTGAGGGGTTAAACATGTTTGTGTTCCTGACCCTATAGTGATCCTTTAACCCATTAAGACCGCAGCCAAATGAACAAGTTGTGATCAAAACAAAACGTAAACAAAACCTGGCATTTGCGCTATATGTTTGTCCAACCGTAATTCACCTCTTTCATATTAAATGCACCCACACTTATTATATATCATTTTATTCAGGGGAAACAGGGCTTTCATTTAACATCAAATATTTAGGTATGGAACATAATTTAATATGAATAAAATATAAAAAAATGTGAGAAAATAAGGTTTTTAAAAATGTTCTTTAAACAACTGTGAATATCAAAATACTGTTTGCTTTTACTGCAATAAAATACACATATTTGTTTTCAGCGATGTCTCACGTGTAAAACAGTACCCCCTATGTACAGGTTTTATGGTGTTTTGGGAAGTTACAGGGTCAAATATAGCATGTTACATTTTTCAGTTTTTTCACATTGAAATTCGCCAGGTTGGTTACGTTGCCTTTGAGACCATATGGTAGCCCAGGAATAAGAATTAACCCCATGATGGCATACCATTTGCAAACGTAGACAACCCAAGGTATTCGAAATGGGGTATGTTCAGTCTTTTTTAGTAGCCACTTGGTCACAAACACTGGCCAAAGTTAGTGTTAATATTTGAAAATGCAAAAAACTAATTTGAACGCCAATTTTGGCCAGTGTTTGTGACTAAGTGTCTACTACAAAAGACTGAACATACCCCATTTGCAATACCCTGGGTTGTCTACTATTGCAAATGGTATGCCATCATGGAGGTAATTTTCATTCCTGGGTTACCGTACGGTCTCAAAGGCAACATAACCAACCTGGCGAATTTTAATGTGAAAAAAAATGAAACACAAGCCTTATATTTGACTCTGTAACTTTTGAAAACACCATAAAACCTGTACATGAGGGGTACTGTTATACTCGGGAGACTTCGCTGAACACAAATATTAGTGTTTAAAAATAGTAATACGTTTTACAACAATTATATCGTCAGTGTAAGTGCCATTTGTGTGTAAAAAATGCAAAAAAATGGCACTGTCACTGACGATATCGTCGTTGTAATACATTTTACTGTTTTGAAACACTAATATTTGTGTTCAGCGAAGTCTTCCAAGTACAACAGTACCCCCAATGTACAGGTTTTATGGTGTCTTGGAAAGTTACAGGGTTAAATATAGTGCTAGCAAATTAAATTCCCTTTACTTTCGGCCTGGGTTGTCAGGCAGGTCATTCAAATTGTAATTAATAAAATTACCTAATTATGTAAAATTATTACATAAATATATATATATATATATATATATATATATATATATATATATATACACACATACATATACATACATACATATATATATATATATATATATATATATATATATATATATATATATATATATATATATACACACACACACACACACACACACACACACACGTATATACTTATTAATATAGATATATATATTAATTTTAAAATACAGTTAGAAGGAAATTACACATGTATATATATTTTTTAACGTATTTACATATTTATTTTTTATTGTATATAAATATACGTATGTAAATAATTATGTATATATTAATATTAAAATACACTTAGACAGTGTATGTGTGTATATAATAAATATATATATGATGTAAGTATATATTATTTATTTTTACACTGTTTTAATGGTTTTTATATTTTTTTTTCCAGACAGCAGAGGGAGTACCTGTCATTACAGGCACTCCCCCTGCTGGCATAGCCTTGGACGGCTATGCCGGCCATGTGATCGCGAGGTCCTCGCAAAAAACTCGCGATCACATGGCCCAGGGGGGCCAAAGAGGACTCCCTGGGCTCCCAGGTGAGTCCCCATACCGCGATCGCCGGCGTTTAGAGCCATCAAAATAGGGATGGCATAGAACGCCCTGCGGTCTTAAGGGGTTAACCTTTCCTGGTAAGTTTTATCCTGTAATCCATGAACCAGTTTAGTAGCACTTCTCTAAACTCTCTCCAAAGTATTAATATCCTTCTGGAGATATGGTCTCCAGTACTGCATACTATACTCCAAGTGAGGTCTCACAAGTGTTCTGTACAATGGCATTAGCACTTCCCTCTTTATACTGCCAATACCTCTCCCTATACAACCAAGCAATCTGATAACATTACCTGCTGCTTTATTACATCTGCCTACCTTTAAAGCGGCACGGTCATGCCGAACTTACGTTTCTTTAATCGATTCCTCTTCTCTCTCTCTGTCAGGATCTGTTCTTCATTTCTTCCTATCTGCTCTAGTTTTCTTTAAAACATAAGACAAAGTAGGGACTACTTGTCTTATGGAGGTTTCCTACGCCTGACCATCTCTGACAAACGGAGGAGCAAATTGTGCTTCATTTCTGGTGGTCAGAGAAATTTCCCCCCAATTCTTAGCTTTCCTCCCTGTTCTCGCAATGCATCCTGTCAGTATCCCAGAACGTCCTGACACTTAGACAGGACGTCGGCAAAACTACCGAATTGCGTCCTAAGAGAATGAGAACCATTTCTCCATTTGTGTTAAAATGCAGTTTGGGACTTTGTTCAGATCGGAATTTCATTTGAATGAATGAAACTCCAATCTGATTCGTGCCACGGCTGCATCTTCCCACGGTATTAGGGAGCTATCTACCAAAAGGCTGAAAGACCTAAATTGGTCTTTCAGCCACATTTACGAATACTAAGTAAAGAATACTTACTATTAGTAAATTCTGCCCCTACTCCCTATACCGCAAGTAGGGGCATGTCTATTAAACAGCGAGCAGCCTGTGGCACTGTTAAAAAAAATAAAACCCTAGTACCCCCCCCTCCCACCCCCAAGTGGCGGGTGGGGGCACTAAAGTAAAATAATGGGGGTGGGGGGGTGGGGGAGACCTATTGTCCTCCCCCCAGCCCCTACACCTGAACGGTTGGTGGGGGCCACAAATAACAATGGGGAGGACCTGTTGTCTCTCCCCCCCCAAACCGGCCTTCACCCCTGAGTGGTGGGTGGGGGCCATAAATAACAATGGGGGGGACCTATTGTCCCCCCCTCTGAGTGGTGGGTGGGGGCCATGAAAGACAATGAGGGGGGATGACAATAGGACCTCCCCCCCCAACCCCCACCCCTGAGCGGCGGTTGGGGGCCCATGAAAGACAATGGGGGGACCTATTGTCCTCCCCCCCCCGGCCCCCACCCCTGAGCGGCGGGTGGGGCCTTAAATTAAAATGCCCCCCTTCCAAGGTGTCTAGGGTTTCCCAAGCTCCTAGTCACCCCCCACGCAAATAAAAAAAGAATCCTCTACCCACCCCCCTCACCCTAAAAATAGTGAGGGGGGAATAAAATAACTAACTACCTGTAAAAAAAATAAAACTTACCATTTGATGTCTTTTTTCTAAAATCTTCATCTTTCAGCCCCAAAAAAGGCCAAATAAAAACCATAATACCCGTCGAACTAGTAGAAAATAAAAAAACCAGAGCGCAAAAAGAAAAAAAAAACAGATGCTAAAAAATTAATCCATCTTCACCCGGCGAGGGCACGGAGCAATCTGAGCTCCGCAGGGCGGGGAAAGACTTATAAAGCCTTGCCCCGCCCTGCAATTAGGCTCAAAACACTTGGACTTGACTTGGAATTCAACCAGAGTGCTAGTCATTTTACACAGCGTGGGAAAGTTCTTTGGAATTTTCCCACCCTGTGTAAAATGACACAGAGCACTCTGATTGGATAGGTGCCTAATGTGCAGCACTGCCATTCAGGGTCTCCACCCTCTACATGCAGACACTGAACTTTCCTAATAGAGATTCATTGATTTGACCAGGGCTGTGTTTGACATGTGCTGGCTCTGCCCATGATCTGCCTCTTTGTCAGTCTCAGCCAATCCTATGGGGAAGCATTGTGATTGGTTAAGACCACCACTTCTGATGAGGTCAGCAGGCAGTGGCAGATCTGAGGCAGACAGGGGCAGAGCCAGGAGCTGCAGACCTGAATACCAGTAAGATGTTACAATATTTAGGGAGGCAAGAAGGGACCAGTGGGGCTAGATGGTGGTTTTAACACTATACATGTTTGTGTTCCTGACCCTATAGTGCTCCTTTAAATTATGATTCAGCAAGATTCTTTTATCATGTTTATTACAATTGCTCCATCTGAAAAGCGTGCCTACACACTCCAAAACATGTGCCAAACCTTCACATTTCACACAGTGATGGGACACATAATTTATCTAACTAGATTTTTTGGATATCCCTATATAGGGCCTTTTTTCCTCCATTACCATGCATTTTGTATAGGGTTATATATCAGGTAAATTTTATAACTCTTGATCTCTCAGTTAGAGAGTCAACGAATTTAAAATGGGTGGTTCCCTGGATTACTGTACCCAACCAACAGAATTACTTGTTGATACATGTGAAGCTAAAACCATTCCTTATTAAAAAAATTTCAATGAGTATGTCAAGGTATCTGTTATTTTGGTTATAAAAGTAGGATCTACCTCAGTCCGTTTAAAGAAACACTCCAATCACCATAACCATTGCAGCTTACTGTAATGATCATGGTGCCAGACTGGCATTGCGCCAACATATTGACTTCTTGTCTGCATTCGCATGAGATTGGCTGAGATTATCAATGCTGATAATCTCAGTCAAACAAACAAGCAGGGTGATTATGGCAAAACCAACCTGCAGAGGACATAGGGTAAGAAAATTGCTTATTTTAACCCTTTTGAAGGGGACCCCAAATAGTCTAATTATTAAAAAGAAAAATATATAGTGTTCCTGTAAAATGAAGTGATAGTTCCCCTGGAACAACTAGAAAGCCACGGAAATAGCACAGGGAATCAATTTTGGAATGTTACCTAGGAGTTCAGAACCACTCCTTTAAATTATTGCAAACATAAATATATTTACTCAAGCATCACTGTACTTTTGATATTATATGCAGTTTATGTACTAGAATGTTTTAAGCATTTAAAAAGGAATGATTGTTACACATATATACATTTGTCATTAAAGTGAAACTGTCACCACTTACCTGGCATTCCGCTCCCCTGCCATTATCTAATTAAAGAGGTGGGTGTTACATGTCTGTAACACCCCACCCCTGGTTCTCTCACTCTTCTTCTCTGGTCTTTGTTGATTAGCCCTGCTTTGGGACACTTCCCTAAGCAAGGCAAACTTCCTCAATGAAGTCAACTGATGGCTTTGTTACCAAAGTGCTGGTGCCTGAACGCACTTTGTCACATCACTTCACTCTATTTCTTTACTCCATAGTCAGCACAAGCAACAGCGACAAGTGAGTTACCATAGAAACCAGAGCACATATGCTGTGGTTTCAATGGGTGGAGAGCAGAGGGACGTCCTGTGGGAAGTCTCTTCTACTCTCCCAGTCTCTCAATTCCTCAACATTATTGAATGTCTGCCGTGGAAATGAAAGACAGGTGGTTGTAAAAAGGTTTTTCTCCCAATCTATACATTTGCTAGTAAAACTGCTTGCACAATATATAGACAAAATGTCAAACACTTTTATAAGAGCTATAGTAAAAAGTAGCATAAATTAATTTTGGTTGCACTAGTGACCATTATCTAGCAATAGACTTTCTGGTTTGTATGTCTATAAGAAATCTGTATTGTATTGAATGTCTTATATTTCTCTTGATCTATGTAGTACCTTCCTGAAAGTTGTGAGCACCATCGGGTAAAGCAAGGAAAGGCAGGTATTTCCATTCTTCAGGTAACCGGTGACTATCATGTCCATCGCCTGGAATCAGTGGCGGGTATGAAAATTCAACCTGCATAACACATAAAAACAAATAGACCACATAAAACAAAACAAGACTAGAATAAACACAATTAAATTATTGTTCAAATTTAAGAGTTAGCCATTTCTTTTTAAAAGAGTCAAGGAAGAGCTACGGAAGCTAAATACATTTTATATTTTCAGTATCTCCTAACATCTTTAAATAGAAACATACAAAATTAAAATGTGACGGCAGATAAGAACCAATTGGCCCATCTAGTCTGCCCAATTTTCTAAATACTTTCATTAAATTCATATTTAGGATAGCCTTATGCCTAGCCCATAAACTCCTTCACTGTGTTAACCGCTACAACTTCAGCTGGAAGGCTATTCCATGAATCCACTACACTCTCAGTAAAGTAATACTTCCTGTTATATATATTATTTTGTATTCTTTATTTTTGACTAGCAAATAATTACAGAAAAGTTTGCATGGTCATTTCAAAAGAAGGTACACTATATGAAAATATTGTAGAGGTTACATGAAATGAGTAGTGCACATTTTATAAGAAATAAAAGGAAGAGCACAATTCTATTAGGGTAGTCAGAAATTAAGAAATGTTATAAGATGGAACTGTGGAGAATTACAAGTGCTAAATACCACTGGGTGCTGAACTACTGCAGATGACCCATGGGGCTTCACAGTATAAAAGATTGTCAGGAACCATTAACGTAATAGAGACAAGATAGCATCTGCCAGCCACGAGGTACATGCTAAAAATGTGCAGGCTAGTAGAGTTCTCCGTGAGAAAAGTAATTCATACGATGCCCTTTGGACTTAAAAAAAATTGGAGGATAATATGCCTATGCCCACAACAGCTACCCCAGAGTGAAGAATAACTAGAATCCAACAAGTAAGCACCCCTCCAGTCCCAGACTTCTGTACAGTCCAGCACCAAAGACTCACGTGACCCAGCATGGGATGCGATCAGGAGCAGCTCTCAAAAACTGCTTCCAGGCTGCATTCTGTTGGAAGGAGTGTCAGTCATCTAAGCAGGTGATGCATAGGGGGATGTCCCTTCATGGATCATGGTCTGGAGTAGTAACGAGGACCCATGGGACCAGGCTTTCGGCAGGCATATGTTGCGCTCAGTACTCTCCTACAAAGCCTCACATTGCAGACCGCGGCACCTCAGGGGTGCTTGAAGGGCTAGTCTGGGCCTCAGCTATTGCTGGATGTGTGACTGCTCGATGGTATATTGTATACCAGAGTCATGACCATAGTTGCTCAAAGGTTTTGTCAATACATTCCTCACATGAGACTCTTGCTGCACTGCAGGCCTCCCTCCAACTGACATCATGGAGTGCATGCAGTCAGTGGTTAGCTTTGCTGGCTCTGTAAGATCCTTCAGGTGGAAGCAGGCCAGCACTGCAGTGGTAACCGGAATAACCCCACCGGCCCAGAGGAGTGGGGGGTAATGGGACTACAAAGAGGCTGTAGCTCATCGCACACACTGGCTCTCAAGATCCCATGCTTCCCCCTGTCTCTGAGCACGCCAGGCCACAGAACCAAGTGGCGATAATGGCCCATCTAGCCAAATTGTTCCAAGCAGAGAATGTTGTAGGCAGGTCTAGTGTCAGTTATCTGCCAAGAGAATGTGAGTTCTATGTCACTTAGAGGCGATTTAGCCATTGTATAGAGAGCAGGAGCTACTAGAGAGCACTCCGGTCATTTTGAGAGTCAGGTCCTGCCCCCACTTCCTGATAGTTTTAAACCTTTAGCCCTCTAATTTAAGACTATGTTCTCTTGTTGTGGTAGTTTTCCTTCTTTTAAAAACACTCTCCTCCTTTACTGTCCCTTTATATATTTAAATGTTTATCATATTCCCCTGTCTCGTCTTTCCTCCAAGCTATACGTGTTAAGATTCTTTAACCTTTCCTGGTAAGTTTTACCCTGCAATCCATGAACTTTTCCCTATATAAAGAAAGCATTCTGCTAGCATTTCCTGCTGCTCTATTACATTGTCTGCCTACCTTTAAGTCATCAGAAATAATCACCCCTAAATCCCTTTCCTCATATGTTGAGGTTAGGACTCTATCAAATATTCTGTACTCTGCCCTTGGGTTTTTACGTCCAAGATGCATTATCTTGCACTTATCCACATTAAATGTCAGTTGCCACAATTCTGACCATTTTTCTAGTTTACCTAAATCATTTGTCATTTGGCTTATCCCTCCTGGAACATCAACCCTGTTACATATCTTAGTATCATCAGCAAAAAGACATACCTTACCATCAAGACCTTCTGCAATATCACTAATAAAAATATTAAAGAGAATGGGTCCAAGTACAGATCCCTGAGGTACCCCACTGGTGACACTGGAGACACACATGAAACACATACTTACAGAGATACATACAGACACATACACAAACACACACATAGAGACACATACATACAGACATGCATACATACAGACACACATGCAAAATGTTTTAGTCATCCTCCTGTTTCCTACCTTTTAGGTGGAGGGTGAATTTCCCTGGGGTCCAGTAATGGCTCAGGCTGATGGGAGTCAGAGTACGATAGCTGGGAGGGAGTGACCGGGGCAGTCACTTCCTCCCAGCGTCTGACATTATCAAAAAGGTGGCTCAGTCGCGCTGTTAAAGCGCTGCATTGCCAACCAGGCCCCCTCATTGCCATTGGGTGGTTCTAACAGCACATACCACCAGATGGGCCCCAGAATGTGCAGCCCCGGCAGTTATACCGTGCTGGCTGGGGCTGCGTTACATAGCCAACGATCACCCTGGTCACAGGGGTCCGCAGGGTGGCCGGGCCCCCTCGAGTGACAGGCCTGGTCGCAGCTGCGACCCCTGCTACCATGGTATTTCTGTCACTGACTGGGTGCAAAGCCATTAGAGTGTTTAGACAAACCACTGTAGCTCAATGAAGTAGCTTGGTGCTTAAATCGCACCCCTTTTATCTCAAAGCTCAAGTCTTTGTCATTTAAGTGTTCGGTTTCTCTTTCCTGCACAATGGTGGCCATTTTGTCATTAGTAGACTGGTTTGAAACTGAGCTGAGTGGGTAAGAGGTATTTGTGCGGAGGGGAAGCTGAAGAAACTCCTCTAGCAGAGAGACATATCCAATAATGCAATCTGACAAAATTTTTACTAAGTTTATAAAAGTTTACTACATAATTTGCAACGGTTTTCTTGCTTTATTTTGGTTTGTATATCGGTTTAAAAGTGTTTGTTTGCTAGTTTAAAAATATCATTGTCCCTAATCCCAGGCAGTTACTACTATTTGTTTTTTGTTCTAGGTTTTATATTGGTCTCATCAGGTTGCTACATGAAATACCATCTCGTTGGGGGGACGGGGGACTGCACGTTGCTTGGGTATCGGTCTCTCCGCTCCCCTATCCCGCTATAACACACCCACCCATACTACAATGCCTACTAATCTAACATGCATCTTAATTAGCTGCAAAGGGCTAAATAACCACTTGAAACGACCAACTCATGCTTTGGGCCAACCGTACCAAAGCAGACCTTATCCTCCTGCAGGAGACACACTACTTGGACGCACGCCCCTTCACTCTCCTGAGCAGACACTTTGTGACACGTTACATTTATCTCTTTGGAGGCCTTACATCTGTGCCTTGAATAAAATAAATAAAATAAAATGAAGCTAGATCCTATGCATGACCATCAAACAATATAATTAATAGACACCTTACAGAGAGACTAGTGCTTTCATGTTCAGTAAAATAGTTAACACTCACTTAAAGGACCACTATAGGCACCCAGACCACTTCAGCTTAATGAAGTGGTCTGGGTGCCAGGTCCCTCTAGGATTAACCCTTTCTTCTATAAACATAGCCGTTTCAGAGAAACTGCTATGTTTATAATAGGGTTAATCCAGCCTCTAGTGGCTGTCTCATTGACAGCCGCTAGAGGCGCTTCCGCGCTTCTCACTGTGATTTTCACAGTGAGAAGCCGCCAGTGTCCATAGGAAAGCATTGTGAATGCTTTCCTATGGACTGACTGAATGCGCGCGCGGCTCATGCCGCGCATGCGCATTCAGCCGCGGAGGAGGAGAGTCCCCCGCCCGGCGCTGGAGAAAGATGTAAGTTTAACCCCTTCCTTACCCTAGAGCCCGGCGGGAGGGGCACCCTCAGGGCACTATAGTGCCAGGAAAACGAGTATGTTTTCTTGGCACTATAGCGGTCCTTTAATAGTCAGTTGCAGCTGCAGGTTACTTCCACATTCCGTATACAATTTAAAAAATTTTTTTTTTTTTAGAAACGGGAATGCCTCTTTGAAAGTCAAAGCTTCAATTCTATAGAGGTAATGGGGAGGCTCCATGGGGTAAATTAGTTGCCATGGAACACCATACATGTTATTCCATAAAAAGTGTGTGTGTGTGTGTGATAATCCCTTTTGGACACACACATATTTTTCTAAAAAATATATGAAAACAGCTACTTAACTGTTTAGGAATATAATGAGTTATTGTGTCTCAAAACTCAGACATTCAAGCACATTTATTCAACTGTAAATTGATGAGAATTATAGGGACGTCAGCTTAATGGAGTGGTTTTGGTGTATACATAATGCCATTACAGATCGATCATGGATCGAGGGCCCGAGGCAGTCAGGGGCCCGGCCGGCTGAACAGCCATGCTTTGGCTGGCGATATCATAGAAAGCCATAATTTTCTCCCTGCAACCTATCGCACTGAAAGTGAGGGGATGCACTGTTTTTGGTTGGATTAAGCTTTTAAATCTAAATCTGGCCTGGTTTGGAAGCAATGCGGGTGTGGGAGTCATAACTGTGTGGCTCTCACACAGCCAGTATGCACAGAAAAGAGCCTCACAAAAGGGGGAGAAGAGTAGGGGGGCCCTTCTCCTATTACCTGAGGGTGCTGTGAGTTGTCCTTCCACCTCTGCCCTGCAGTGTTACTGTTCAACTCTCTGCCATTTTGGAGTTAATTCACTTTGTTTATTTAGGCCTAACCACATCTCCCCTGCACGTGACCTACACATTGCCTGCAAAGAGACATCAAATTTCCTTTATTGCAAAGTCCGTTTAAAAAGTTACTCCAATGCCAGAACTACCATGGTCTGGTTCCCTAGTAATGGGGCAAATAGTTTAGTAACGGTTTGCCCCCTTACCTGGTGGGCTCCAAAGCTCCCTGGTAGACTGGACTAGTGATGTGGCTTCAACTGCAGAAGAAAAAAAGCCACGGGGTCGTCATTGACCTTCATTCTGTGCTACAAAAGTTGTACAGAATTGATATTAGCCAGCCTGGAACTTTAGCTCTGGGATGGCTGATGACACTCCTATAACCCTGCAAGAAGTGGAGTTACACCTCTGGCAGTAGAGGGGTTAATTTCTGTATGTGTAGAGTTATGTTACAGTATGCTTAGTCCAAAACACAAAAAAAAAAAAATCACTGCCTAACAGATATGTCCCCAATTAAGATATGTCCTGCAAAGGCTGCAGATCTATTGCAAGTCCCCACCCCTTCTTTCTTAGCCCAGACTTTTAGACCAAAAATGGTCCACTGCAGCCCACTGAGCTAAAGAACAATTCCTTGTAACAGGACCAGTTTTCTGATTGACAGCCAGGGGTGTAACAAGGTTAATTTATAAAAGTGCAAATTGCTATTGAAACCAGTTTTACATATAGACAGCTTTACAGGGAGAGTGGTTAATACCCCACACAACTCCTGGTTCCTTTTATACATATGCTGTAGCAATCAGGGCCAGACTGGCCCACCGGGATACCAGGAAATTTCCCGGTGGGCCGTCGGCACTTGGGGCCAGGCAGGCAGCTGGCTGACCTGCGGCCGCAGAGGGAGCTCTTCCGGCAGCCGCAGGGGGAGCTGGCTGTTCTGTCTCTGCTCCCTCTTCCCAGCCCACTGCTTAATGAGACCGGGGCCGGAATATGACATCATTAAGCAGTGCGCTGGGGAGGGGGAGCAGAGACAGAACAGCCAGCTCCCCCTGCGGCCACCAGAAGAGCCAGCTCCCCCATGCGGCCGCCATCAGAGCTCCCCATGCGGCCGCCAGCACACAGGTAGAAATTGTGTGTGTCAGTGTGAGTATGTGTGTGTGTGTCTGTGTCATAGTGTGTGTGTGTCATGTAATGTGTGTGTCTGTGTCATTGTGTGTGTCATGGTGTGTGCGTGTCTGTCTGTCATGGTGTGTGCATGTGTCTGTCATGCAATGTGTGTCTGTCATGTAATGTGTGTCTGTGGCACGGTCTGTCTGTGTCATGGTGTGTGTGTATGTCATGTAATGTGTGTCTCTCTGTGTCGTGGTGTGTGTGTGTCATGGTGTGTGTGTCTGTCTGTGGCGTGTGTGGGTCTGTGTCACGGTCTGTCTGTGTTATGGGGTGTGTGTGTGTGTCTTTTTTTAAGGTGTGTGTCTCTGTCATGGTGTGTGTGTGTCTGTGTCATGGTGTGTCTGTGTGTCTGCCTGTGTCACGGTGTGTGTGTCTGTGTCACGGTCTGTCTGTGTCATGGTGTGTGTCTGTCATGGTATGTGTGTGTGTATGTGTGTTTTTACTCACCTTTTTTCCCCCCACGTCGTGCTGGTCTCCCCTCGACTGGCCCTGCCTCTATGGCTGAGATCATCAAGCTTGATGATCTCAGCCAATCCGCACTGACACAGGAAGCACCTCTAGTGACCGTCTGAGTGTCTGTCACTAGGAAGCAATGTAAACACTGCCTTTTCTCTAAAAAGTCAGTGTTTACATTGAAAAGCCTGCAGGGACAGGCTATAGACACCAGAGCCACTACATTAAGTTGTGTGTGCGTGTGTGCCTGCTACTGAGTGAGCTTGTGTTTTTATGTCAATGACCTTATGTATATCAGTGAGATTGTTTGTCTATGAGGCTGTGTATCAATCAGCTTGTGTCAGTGAGATTGTCTGTGTCTGCATGTGAGTATGCTTACTGTATAATTAAAAATTTTACTCTGAAAGGACCAATATTTTATATTGGAAAAAGCAATATATATATATATATATATATATATATATATATATATATATATATATATATATATATATATATCTCATCTAGGGTGGCAAGACATAGCCTTACATATTACATGCGACAATATATGACGCAATGATTTATGGGGCTGGCATAGATTTTTTTTTTCCAGGGCTGCTTTGGAATCCCCAGTCCGGCCCTGGTAGCAATAGAACAAAAGGAAAACAGAGAGGGCCCCAATTATGTTACAATGCTCAATTTATTCCTAAACAGGCTAAAATAAATAAATAGAAGGCTCCCAGAGCTATCCTGACACTATAACCACTACAACATGCTTGCAAAATGTATAACCCAAAATTTACTCAGTCAACAACGACCATCAGAGCTGAAAATATTACCTAAAGCAGTTTTACTATATCACACAGATATTTGTAGAACATAATTACACATCAGAAACTTTGCAGAGCCCTTCCCACCAATACAAACACAAACCTACAGTTACACCTACAGAACTTTGGTCTTCAAATCCCAGGTCTCAGCTGCTTTATAACGATATCACTGCAATCAGGAAGTAATTCTATAAAAGGGGATTGATGAGACTGTTATTGCTCAACAAATCTCAGGAAACAGAAAGCTAGATTACTGCTGGTTTCCCTGGACGGACAATAAAAAATTAAAAAGCATGTCAGCTTTTGGCTTAAAGGAACACTATAGTGTCAGGAAAACACTTGTTTTCCTAGCACTATAGTGCTCTGAGGGTGCCCCCATCCTCAGGATTCACCTCTCCTCCTCCTCTCCGCCTCTTCGGCTGAATGCGCATGCGCGGCAGGAGCTGCGCGCACATTCAGCCAGTCCCTATGGACGCTTGCGTCTTCTCACTGTGATTTTCACAGTGAGAAGCACGCAAACGCCTCTAGCGACTGTCAATGAGACAGCCACTAGAGGCTTTAGAGGCTGGATTAACCCATTTATAAACATAGCAGTTTCAGAGAAAAGTAAAAAAAAAAAAAAAGGGTTAATCCTAGAGGGACCTGGCACCCAGACCACTTCATTAAGCTGAAGTGGTCTGGGTGCCTAGAGTGGTCCTTTAACAGCTCAATTTTAATAAATAATATGAACACTTCAAGATTGAAAGTACATGGAGGATGAAGATAATAATATGTTCAAAAATTCTATATTCATCTTATATGAACATCCAAAAGCAAACTGGTGATAATTATACATTTCTACTTTATAATTTTTGAATCAGAGTTGGGCAAATCCCATGATGATATCCAAGCACCTGGTTTCATAAGATGTGCTACCAAAAGCAGGGGGTACGCTAGGAGCTGATGGAGCTCCAGTTCAAAATAGTCAGAGACTTGTCCTGCCATTACTCATGCAGAGGCAGGAGTCTAATTAGGAGAGTTAGGCAACCTCTAACGGCCGCTGAACTCGCCAAATTGGCTTGCCTCCTCACCTCTGGGGTAACAGGTGTGTGCATTGCCCCATTCCAAGCTACCTCTGGCGTAATGATGTCATCTTCTGAGGCAGCCTACGCGCTGGGTCTTAAGAGGTTGAAAAGGACGAGTGTGAGGGCAAGGCCATTCTTGGCCTTGGCTGGTTTTAGATGTGACAGGAAGGGCTCAGCTTTCCGCCTGCCAGCCAATATTTGTATATACAGAAACAAACAGAGTCCAAGGTGTCTAAAACACAGTAAGTAATAACCCAACCAAATAATCTAGGCATCCAAAAACATTGAGAAAACCTATAGCAAATGGAGTCAATTACATTTATTTACACTAGTTTGTACAAGAGTCCTTCCAAAATTCCAAATGGTAACAGATGTAGGAGGGTTGCTTTACTGCAGATGGCATCCATAGTACTACACTGGTGTTTGGTGATATGTTGTTGAATTTTGACCCGAATAGAAGAATAATGGGCTAACTTTAGCAGTGGTGATAAAATGTAGGTTGAGGTATCCATTTAACTGTCAGGAATACAAAGTACCCAAGAAATTGATTTGTTTTATTTTCAAATACATACACATTTTCAGTTACATAAAACGAGGTTCTATTTTCTGTCAGGTTACTCTTTATGTAAGTGCGTATGTCAGTGTCCTCTGTGTGCATTATAGTATTATTTTGTGACTTTTATACTTCAGATTAATAGTTCATACTTGTCTCTTTACATGAACAATATTTACATTATGTCAAATTTATTTTACAAATATTATTTACTATCTTTAATCAGGTTTGTTCTTGAATCTGGAATTAACTTAAATATCAGTGTCTACACATTTCATCTGGAATTAAAACCACTAGAAATGACTCGATACAGGGTTACTTAGGAATTTTTTTAAGACCTGCAAGGATACTTCTCCGTAAAAGGTTGAGAAACACTGCCATAGCATATTGCAGGCCCTTGATCCCTTCCCAACGCTAGGACGGAATATGCCATCCTACAAAAGAAGGGCTAGAACTTCATTAGGACGGCATAGGATACCCTTAATATCGAGCCCTCCTTGTTGGATCTGATCGGAGGGACTGCCTGACAGCTGAGGCAGTCAACCATGCCGATTTGAGTCATAATGATATACATATGGCATCGACCAATATTATTTTTTAAGGGCTAATATGGGGGGGTTAGTGTTTGTATATATAAATATGTGGGGTAGGATTCTGTGGCCAAAACACACACACACATATATATATATATATATATATATATATATATAAAAAAAAAACACACACACACACTTAATTTACTATATTTAATAAATTATTTTAAAAAATATATAAATAGTTTACATTTTATAACCCCCTCCATGCTTTTTAACTGTAACCAGGGAGGGGGACATTACATTCCCTAGTGGTCCAGTGGTATTGTACAGGCTGCCAGGGGGTTTCACTTTATAGAGTGAACCCACGGCAATGCTATGACGGCTGGAGGCTTGTAAGAGTTTGGAGAGATGATCAGCCATGAACAGAAGCTAGTTTGTGCTGGTTGCCAGAAATCCTCTCTACAATGAGAGTAGCACAATAAGGTGGCGGAACCCCCCACCTTATTGTCAATTTGGTATTATTGTATACAAATACTGATAATTGGCAAAATGCCAAATCGATAATCACTCGATGCCTATATAAATGTAATTCTAAATGTATTTTATATACAATTATATTATTTTGTAACTATATCTTGGGGGACATGCCCGACAACCCAGGTAGAAATACCAGAACATTTGCATTGAATGCCCTAATATTTGACCTAATGGCTTTCCAAAACCCCATAAACCCTGTACATGGGGAGTAATGTTATACTCGAGACGTAGCTGAACACAAATATGAGTGCTTGAGAGCCGTAAAACCGTGACGATGACATCATCAGTGAAAGTGCAATTTTTGTGTGGAAAATGCAAAACAAACAAGAAACACTAACTTTGACCAGGGTTTATGACTAAGTGGCTACTAAAAGAATGAATATAACCGATTTTCAGTTGTCTACTTTTGCAAATGGTATGCTTTGATGGGGGTAGTTTTAATTCCTGGTCTGCCATATGGTCTTAAAGGCAACGTAGGCCTTGCAAACCAATCTGACAAAACACCATGAAACCTGTACTTGTACATCGTTTTACTACTGGGACATAACAGCATACAAATATGAACAGACACATAACTCACATTCAAGGTTTTGTTTTGGTTGAGATTGTGGACAATTGCTTCTGTCCTTAAAGTAACACTATAATGACAAGAATACAAACGTTTGTATTCCTGTCACTACAGTTGTGAAAACATAATGTAGTTGACCGCCCCCCTGTCAGCAAAGTAAAGGGTGATTTTACTCATCTTTATTCTAGAGTCGTGCAGGTCTCCTTGTGGCTGGCCCTGCTCCTGCTCTGCCTTCTTGGATGAGATCATCAAACTTGACAATCTAAGCCAAATTGGCATTGCCTTGTAGAGCTCCCTTGAATCAATGTGTCAGTGTTTGTATCTGTGTGTTTCTGTATGTGTGTCAGTGTGTGTATGTGTGTATCAACTTTGCACTACTGGCACTATATTATCCCTCTAAATTGTGCAGGTATTACAGAACAATAGCAACTATATCCCATGGTTGACATATGTCGCAAATCCACTGAAATAAGAAAGAAAAGAAAACCTATACATGCAGAACAGAGGGAGTGCAGAGCATGACATGGAGTCGTGTGTCAGGGCAGGTAGAAAATATATAAAAGCAAGCATGCTTGGCCTTTCCACCTGTTGCTCCAGTAACTGCAAACCCCCTGGGAAGAGATATTTCTTCATAAATATAGCCTGAAGACAAGCTTTTCTTACAATCTATGTCATTTGTGAATTCACTTTAGTCTGCTTTGTTTTACATCGGGGGATGCAGACCTTGCTAATGACAGTCATGCAGCGAAAGATCAAATAAGATTAAATATTCATTCTAATACTGCAATTAGAAACCCACCTGCTAAAATAAGGGGAAAAGTGGAACACAAAACTAAATGTCTATTCAGTATTTAAGCAAAAAACATTATTCTGCATTTGCAGAATAAACCCTAATTCATTCCAGAACTTTAACCTCTGCTTGAAAACCACTATTACTACCCCTAGGACATTGACAGCTTGTAAAAGGCCACACCAGCATCCTACAAAGTTTATGCCACTTAACATTAAGTAAACTGACAATTTATCTTTACAGTGTTTAGTATATAGATTATCTTGGTGCGGTGGGGTGTATGTTCTAATAATGACTCATTTCAGATTAAAAGGATCATTAAGCAAAAAAGAAGTTCCTTGTATTGGTTATAGTACAAAAAAAAAGTTACCGGATGGGTCGGGGGTGGGTGGGGATCGTCTGGGCCTGGGGGGTGAAGCGATGAGGGCGGAGACACGCCTGGTCGGCCAGATACCCATCTAATGGGCGCAGCTGCCTCGAGCAGGCCGGTACAGCCCGAGATGCCTAACGGGACAAGACGGGCCGTTCCTACCTTTCCGCACACGCTGCCCCAAGTCAAGACAAAAATTTTGTAGGAGCACGGACAGGCGGGCATAGGCTCAGCTAACCGCATGCTAGCATGTAGACTACAACAAGTAGTAGAGCAGGGGCACACTCAGCAAACACTAGCACTAGCCTTTCGAGACGGCAACATCGAAGATGACCCTAACTCTGGGGGCATTTAGAAAGGGTACGCTACACGAGGCCACATTAATGCAAAGGACAGTGCTCCTAGCTTAGCCACTTACATAACAACATCGCAGCACTAAATACAACCACTGTTTTGCTGAAATTGTTTTCCTTGAGACGCTATGCATACCTACTGTTTCACAGGCATGTTATAATTGTTATACATTATATGTTGCCACATCACTGTTTGGCATCAAAAAAATAAAACAAAAATAAAGATTGTCAAAAAAACAAAACAAAAAAAAAAGTTACTATTTATCACAAGAATCTGTGAACAGAAGGAGTACCTGCAAAAAAAAAAAAAAAGTAAAAAAAATAAAAAATTTAAATTTGAGCTTTAATGCACTACTTACAATGTTAGAGATTTATCACGGTAAAAGAGGGGCTATTCTTAGTATAAAATATTAAATAGTGTCATTTTGAAAAATAGTTACCTTAATTTAACACTTTGCACCAAAATAGCCTCTGTTTGCCTTGATGGATCCCCCCCTCCCCTCAAAGAAATTAAAAATTAAATTAATTACAGTCTAGCAGGCCTGTCCAACCAGCAGCCCATCAGATGTTGCTGGACTACAGTTCCCATGATTCTTTTAATGAAACAGATAGCCAGGGAATCATGGGAGTTGTAGTTCAGCAACATCAGGGGGGAAGAGATTGATCATGACCCTAGACCCATGAGCTGAAACCAGTGGTTGAACTCTTCTGATACAATTAAACATAAGTGAAAAATGCAGTTAGTAGTAGAATAAACCAAAAAAGAAACAAAAACCCAGATCACTGAAAAAAACATTCGGCGACAAGTGTTTTTGAACTGGAATCAACAAATGACCTGAAAGATGAATAACTATAATAAGCCAAAATAAAAGGGTCTATTAGATCCAGACCTTCGAGACTTACAAAAGTGTAGTGATAAAAAAACATAAGCCTTTCGGCTAAACCTCTCTTAAATCCACCGTATTGAATCAAAATTTGCAAGACTCTCTGACTTTATTAATAATTAAATGTGTCACAGTCTGCATGATTCATATATTTCTACCTTAATAGAGTTACGGAGGGTTTTCCTGTCACTTTTCACTTTACTTTTTCGCACTGGGCACCTTACACTAAGGGCAGGTAACCAACACTCTAAGTATGGTTCTGCCCTTGATTACTATTTAGTTTAATCTTTTTTCTTTTTCCTCTCTTCAAGCTCCCTATTTGTGTCTAGCAGTTTTGCACAAGCTTTATATCAGTATCTGAATTTGTTTCCAATTGGCTGAATACATATATCTTTTAAATAGATACTGTATACTTATTCTGACTAGATACTTTTTTCTACAGTTGACTTCATATATATTGGCAACAGAAGCAGATATTATATTGTTCACACGGTACAGTGAGACCGAATGGTTTGAATGGTCTTTCACTGAGTGGACGTTTAACTGCTTATATCTTAGTTACCTATCCTTTTCAATTCTATGGTCACTTTAGCAATTTTAGGGATGCTCCCCGTAACTCTATTAAGGTAAAAATATATGAATCATGCAGACTGTGACACATTTAATTATTAATAAAGTCAGAGAGTCTTGCAAATTTTGATTCAATACGGTGGATTTAAGAGAGGTTTAGCCGAAAGGCTTATGTTTTTTATCACTACACTTTTGTAAGTCTCGAAGGTCTGGATCTAATAGACCCTTTTATTTTGGCTTATTATAGTTATTCATCTTTCAGGTCATTTGTTGATTCCAGTTCAAAAACACTTGTCGCTGAATGTTTTTTCAGTGATCTGGGTTTTTGTTTCTTTTTTGGTTTACTAACAAGGGGTTAAGCCCCAGGACACCCACTGGAGTGCCCTTTAAGGTGTCTATTTGGATCCCTTGAGAGGTAAGCTACCCCGTATAGGGTTGCATTGCCACCTTGGGTTTCCAAATAAAGTTCAATTAAGTAGTAGAATAAATGCTTTCTTAAAGGACCACTATAGTGCCAGGAAAACATACTCGTTTTCCTGGCACTATAGTGCCCTGAGGGTGCCCCCACCCTCAGGGTTCCACTCCCGCCCAGCTCTGGAAGGGGGAAAGGGGTTAAAACTTACCTTTTTCCAGCGCTGGGCGGGGAGCTCTCCTCCTCCGATCCTTCTCTTCTCCTCCCAGTCGGCTGAATGCGCACACGCGGCAAGAGCTGCACGCGCATTCAGCCGGTCACATAAGAAAGCATTCATAATGCTTTCCTATGGACGCTGGCGTGCTCTCACTGTGAAAATCACAGTGAGAAGCACGCAAGCGCCTCTAGCGGCTGTCAATGAGACAGCCACTAGAGGAAATAGGGGAAGGCTTAACCTCTGAAACTGCTATGTTTATGAAAAAATGGGTAAAACCCTAGCTGGACCTGGCACCCAGACCACTTCATTAAGCTGAAGTGGTCTGGGTGCCTAGAGTGGTCCTTTAATTTATGTATGTTAAAAAAACAGCTGACATGCCTCTGATAGCTGGGATGTACTATATTATAAAGCATATCTCCCAGCCACAGCGTTTTTGCAGCATTATTCACACGTGCGAACAAAAATGCCTAATTTACTAAGGGGAAAAGTAATGTCCCTTTATGATTATTAATGTATATTATAATGTAATGAATGTGATTAAAGAACCATGAAAAACCACAGTTGTATGTATAAGATTCAATTTTCTTGCTTGTCTAAACATTACTAGGTGCTCAGAAATGGGATTCCAACAGTTGGCTATTTTTATAATCCTAATAGTGTTTACTTGCTGGCATCCATTTTTAACCTGGTACTCTATAACACTTTACTCCCCATAAGTACAGGTGTGATTAGTTGTTCATTGACATTCACAATTATATTTCCTTCTCCAATCGCTTAGACGGTTTTATTTTCGGTTTATAAGCTTTCTTGCTGTGTATAAGTCACTAAGAACTCCTGGTTCATGTTCAAAACAGATAGGCTTTGTAATTTTCTGGTTCATAAACCTGACCTCATTGAATTACGGCAGAATATAGAACGGCATCTACATGTATACGCCGAGGCACGGTTCTGGATCCAGATACACATGACACATTAAAGGTGAAAACAATGCATAATTAATGTGCTTTGTCAAAGTGGCTTGTGTTCTTTATTTGTCATTTGTTTTGTAGTAGATAGATACATATTGGGTGCTGGTTGTACTTATATTATGTATAGAAGAGTTGTCACAAGCTACAATAACTTGAGCTAGTTCACGTCTGCTACTTGGACTCTTGTCTTTGTGGAAACAAGCTAGGAAGAACTACTGCATAACTGATTGCTAACCTCAATCTGAGGTCTCTGTATACAAGAAATGTGCCATGGCTCGACAGGAGGGAGGGAGAGAGAGGGTGTGGGGGTAGGAGCGGGGTGGGGGGCAGATGAGAGACACCGAATATAAGATATTCCTTTGCTCAAACACTTCTGGAACAATTCCTTTAACGCACCACGCATATCACATCTTCACTACACACCCTCTTTAAACTTCTGATAGGTGTGAAATAACAAATTAGTCAACACCTTTGAAATATCATGAAGTATGTGTGTGTGCTTAAGTAGATTTCTTGATTTTTTTTATACCTACAGGAAATTATGCTTAAAGCAGTTTCCGTGTTGATGGTCAAATTGCTGTGTAGGAATACATGAGAGATATATTCAGTTTTGCTAAATGTTCACATTAATTAACAAATGAGAAATATAACAATTAACATTAATGGGAGGGAAAAGGATAGTAATTTTATAAAAAGGACTTTTCTCCAATAAATACAGCAGTAAATTATCCATAGAATAATTTTAAAGTACTGAACAAGTATAATCATTAAAAACTCTTTCTGCGTACTAAACATGTAATTGCTACTGTGGGCCTATATCATTTGTGTAGTATGATGCCATGTTTACGATCATGCTTTTATTTTTGCAGAATATGACTAAAATAAACTATACTACAAAAGCAAAGCACATTAAGACATTATGCTAATTCTAGGAGAAGAAGTAGTAACTGCTATTACCATCACAACATCATGAAGGAGTTAAAGTATCTGCTACTATTCATTATCAGTTATGTTTCCTTGGAAATGGAACACAGTAAAGCTGCCCCCATTGGTGGAATCTTGTCATGTCTATGACATCAATGCTATGAAGACACATCTGTTAAGTCTGAAGCACCGCTTAAAAGGAGAAGTGATGATAGAGATAGAATATGGACCTCCAGCAGAGTGTTGGCTCTTTAACCAAGAGCAATTGAATAATATCCCATCCAGGTGGTATGGGGTTACTCGGACAAGGAGATCCTATGCCGCCAAGAGGCTGCAAGCCTGATTCAGGACCTGGGCCAGTGGCTTGATGTCTCTCAGCTCAGCATAAACACTGCTGTGGTTTACATGCACATGTTTTACATCAAGTACCTCCGCTATGATATTGCTTCTGCAGCTTTGTTCCCTGGTGTGAAAGATATCCTTAAGGTGGCCCATGCCATACTTCATTCAAAGGAGACAGGGCTGGACTCCAGCAGCCAGAGGTTAAAGTGTCTGGAAAGTATCCTACTTCAGACTTTGGGCTTTTTGGTCACTGTGGATGTTATAAAATATCCAGTCAGTGGAAGCCTGTAAAGCTTTCATTGTTACATGTAACATTCTTTTTCTGTTTTCTTGTCAAAATTTGCAACAATGTAGATTTTACCTAGGGCCTCAATGTAATATTTTTGAATAAGCCTTTCAAATATTATCAATGTGAATAACACTTTTACATTTTTTAACATTTTGAAAAATATTTAGATTGTTAATATATAAATGTATTTTTGATATTTAAAACAAAAAAATACTATTTCAAAAGTTTATCTAAAAGTAATAAATCATCTAAAAATCTAATCCTAAAATATTACAATCAAGGCTATAGTTGGGTATGGAGTGTAATTACTCTTTTGTCAATATAAGTCATGTATGCCCAATATATATATCCAACAATATTGTAGCTTTTATCAGCATATTTAGGCTAAATGCAATGTTCTGGCAGAGGCAAAACACCAGATGTAGTGCCTACTCTATTATTCCAATGAGGATATGATAATCATCTTAAAGGGACACTATAGTCACCAGAACAACTACAGCTTATTGAATTTGTTCTGGTGAGTAGAATCATTACCTTCAGGCTTTTTGCTGTAAACACTGTCTTTTCAGAGAAAAAGCAGTGTTTACATTACAGCCTACTGATAACTTCACTGGTCACTCCTAAGATGGCTGCCTAAAATGCATTTCAGTGTCTCCTCCCTCTGCATGCAAACACTGAACTTTCCTCATAGAGATTCATTGATTTAATTTATCTCTATGAGGAGATGCTGATTGGCCAGGGCTGTGTTTAAATCATGCTGGCTCTGCCTCTGACCTGCCTCTTTGTCAGTCTCAACCAATCCTATGGGGGAGCATTGTGATTAGATAAGGCTACCATTTCTGATGATGTCAGTAGACTGTTTGTTTTTCTGAGTCTAACAGCATGCAGAGTTACAGCTTCTGGCTTGAATACAGTAAGGTTTTTACTATATTTATGGAGCCATGAGGGGCTCAGGGGGGCTAGATGGTGGTTTTAACACTATAGAGTCAGGAATACATGTTTGTGTTCCTGACCCTATAGTGATCCTTTAATAAATCCCCAACACTTTCTTCTGTGATACTAAATGGAAATGCATGAATAAGACAATAAAACATAGTGAGGAAAGGGTATAATATAGCAGATGTCTATGCCTGGGTGCTCAGCTGATGACATGCACAAAATGTTGTGTTTTAGAGAGCAAACAAATTTGGATTTGCATCGTGCTGTACTATTGCAAGATCAAGGCTGGTCAAAGCTGGAAAATACTGAGCTCCTATCACAGCAACTTTATTTGTTACAGAAACCTCTAAGTCACAATCTGAACACTGCACATAGGATCATCGTCTTGGTTACAAATCTGCAGAATACATTTGTACAACTACCAATGATATAAGGAAAATAAAATTGCATCAAGTTGGTTATTACATCTCAACGATTCATTGATTTTACTGATAATTACTTTTTACCATAGACTGAAACATATTTCTCTAGAAAACAAAATGAGGGTTTGGCTATTTATTACAACTAGAAGTTTAGTATACAAAGTCCTAACCCATATTGCTGCATGTCAGCCTGACATACATTTTGTAATGTCCTAATATATTAAGAGGACAGAGGGATTAAAACCTAGTCGTATTACACTGGATTGACCAGTAATGAAGGGATAACAATTACATGTTAACTGCTCATAAACAAAAGGTGTGTGTGTGATAACATATCCTAGTAATTGTGCAGTGTAAGTCTGATGAGTTATTTCTAAATTATGTGCAGGTGCCTAATGAAAGAATGCAAACAAATCATACATCATGTTTTTTGACGGATGATGTATGAGGTACATCATCATCACCACTAATTTTATTAGTAATGGCAGATGTTTTTGCACATGTTAGATGACACAAGTGTCCTGGAGTCTTAGTTATGCCAGTATTTGCTGGTATAGACAGGGCTTTATTTGGTCCCTTACAAAAAAAAAAAAAAAAAAAAGCCTGCTGGAGGCTTTCCTAAGCATTCAATACCTGAAGATTATATCACACCCCTATGCTGATAACACAGTGATGGAGGTCTCTATTACATATGACATTGAGACAACGCATTATTAGCTTACCAGAAGTAAGCATGCAATTGAATGCCTTTATTGTCAGGTTAATATCCAGATGCTACTACTGAACTGGCAATAGGAAAAATGGGCAACTATGTGGAACAGGGAGGGGAGGAGTAGAATGACCTACCATTGGAAGCCCGGAGAGTAAGGGGGAGAATTGTCTACAACTTGGGACAGAGAGGGGAATGGGGTGAATAGCCTACTACTGGTAATGGGGAAGGGGGAGAATGGCCTACTTCTGTGAGTGGGGAGGAGGATAGAATTGTCTTCTAATGAGTAGTATACCCTCTTTATTCAAACACTAACCCTCCACATTATAACATCACTGCGATAACACATACAGTCCACACGTTTATCTCTGCACCCATATACATGGACGTGGCATGTGTACTTTAATAACAAACTAAATGTGGTGTTTTCAGATAGTGAACCTTGCTAATAACTTAAAGGAAAAGTCCAAGCAGTTGTAAAAAAAAATCAATCCATTTTAAATCAGTACCTACTTTCTTTTAACCTGATGTCCACTGGACACTGCTCACCATATTCTTACTGATAGCTGGAAGGAGCTTCTACTGCTTCTCCTGAACTAAGCCATGCAGGGCTGGCACACTGGCTGAGAGCAGGCATAGTTTAGTGAAAGCAGCTTCTGGTACTTACTGGGCAGTAATGGAGGTGGGGAACAGTGCTTGGCAGACCCCAGGTAAGAAATCAAACCATTCTAAAATGGCTTTACTCTTTAAAATGGTGGACACCAGTGCACTATCGGTACCAATACTGCACACAGTGTTTATGGTGCTTGAGTGTTCTTTTAAAATGGATTCTATAACCATTTCATCTCAATGTGTTCTAGTGCCTCGAGTCTCCTGACGTAATCCTTCATTTAGTGTTAAACCATTTTCAAGGAGTTTAACATTGAATGATTGTCTTTGATCCCCACTAGAGGTATGGCTAAGGCAGAGATCCTTAGACAAATTAAATAATACCAGGAACAGGCAAATGTGATAGTCAGTTGACACTCTCAGCTAATCACGGATGCCCATTGAAGCTCAGGCCTCCAGGAGACACCAGCCCTATAACCACTTCAAATATATGAAGCAATTATAATGCCCGGAGAGCCCCTTCAAGAATTTAAATTACGAGACCTGTCTAAAGAGGTTGACTTTTTTTTACCCCCATTTTCTTTCTTGTGTGTGTAAAGTATACTCCAAGCACGATAACTACAACCGCCTGACGTAGAGGTTTTAGTGACATGAGTGCCCTGGTTTTATCCCATGGTAAGATGTCAAACTATTTTAAAACAAAAGCTCAAGACAGCACTCATTGGCTGAGAGATAACCTTATGGTTACTCTATCAGCCAAAGAGGGTGGTCATTGTAATGGACCGTTTTGACCACAAGAGGTTAAAAACCGTTTAGGCGATATTCCCCTTTCAGATGCACAGACAGCTACTGCAAGCACCAATCTCCCGAACTGCAAACCCACGAATTCACCAACTCCCGAACTGCAACCAAGGGAATACTCGAAACTCCTGAACTGCATACCAAGTAGCACTCCAAACTCCCGAACTGGAGACACACGAATAGCTGTTAGCAGACGAACAGGAAAAGCACCCAAGCGGCTTACACTCCTGGCAATCAGTCTCTAACAGCATACAGGAAATCTCCCCAAAGACGAGACGACACTTCGTTTTGAGGGTCAAGCAGAATCTGGTTTACTGGGGCTAACTGCCTGGCTTTTATGCAGGTCTCCCACCTGGTGGACACTCCCCTAGGGGACCAGATGGGAGACTGAGACACAAAGGGTACAAGAGCCAATCACAGACTTACACATTTCAACCATCCCGCAATGCATTACAATCCCTCCTCTCTGTCCTGGAGATAATTGGGAAGTAATCCAATTATCTCCAAGGACAGAGGCAAGACTCCATTAACCACATGGTATTAAAAAGACAGTAAAAGACATAAAATTACATACAGTTACATTTACTACATAACACATAAGACATTCTACATATCCCCAGATAGCTTAGTACTGAGCGCACATTACTACCATAGAAACCTAGAATGTGACGGCAGATAAGAACCATTCAGCCCATCTAGTCTGCCCAATTTTCTAAATACTTTCATTACTCCCTAGTCTTATCTTATAGTTAGGATAGCCTTATGCCTATCCCACGCATGCTTAAACTCCTTTACTGTGTTAACCTCTACCACTTCAGCTGGAAGGCTATTCCATGCATCCACTACCCTCTCAGTAAAGTAATACTTCCTGATATTATTTTTAAACCTTTGTCCCTCTAATTTAAGACCATGTCCTCTTGTTGTGGTAGTTTTTCTTCTTTTAAATATAGTCTCCTCCTTTACTGTGTTGATTCCCTTTATATATTTAAATGTTTCTATCATATCCCCCCGTCCAAGCTATACATGTTAAGATCCTTTAACCTTTCCTGGTACGTTTTATCCCGCAATCCATGAACCAGTTTAGTAGCCCTTCTCTGAACCCTCTCTAAGGTATCAATATCCTTCTGAAGATACGGTCTCCAGTACTGTGTACAATACTCCAAGTGAGGTCTCACCAGTGTTCTGTACAATGGCATGAGCACTTCCCTCTTTCTACTGCGAATACCGAATGGCGCTCAGATAACATACATACATTTCAATCGCCATGGAGCCAAAGTCTTTCCCATAGTCTTTCGTTACACGAATAGGCTCCATTGCTTAGCTATCTGGGGTGGTGCTGTTCACCTGGTTAAATTACCGAATGAGAAGGTAAGGAGGCTGGCGGCTCAGCGGTGTTCGCGCCAATAAGTGTCTGTTTTCAGTTCCATAGTTCCATAGTTTGGGAGCTGAACACCGCTGGCTTCAATCAGATGTTAACTTACTTTAGAAGTTTATATTTCTTACTCTGTAAATTGAACTTTAATCACCCAAAGGAGGCTCCTGCAGGGTTGAGTAGACCATTATTAGAGAATAAAAATGTGCAAGAAGATAAGATTAAACTTTAGATATCTCTTCCATCAGGAATTCAGTCTGCTTATCTGACCTTCAGAAACTCCTAACTTTTATGTCTTTTTGTTTGTATATTTGTAAAGTGCTTTGAGTCTCACAGGGAGAAAAGCGCTATAAAAATTGCAAATTATTATTATTATTATAATAAAGTGATTGAACTCCTAAATGGGCAGTGAGAATGCAGGGGCATGATCTATACACCAAAACGTTTTGATTAGGCCAAGTTCATTAAACTACAGTGTAACTGTAGTGGAGGCGTCTTGTAAATCATGCCCAGTGAATTCTCCATTAGCTTCAAAGCACAACAATATTAAAAGAAGTACAAAATTGATCAACTGGATCATTCATGCACACACCAACATATATAGGTTTCAATATTTTTCTCCCATTCTCTACATTTTTACAGCTTTGCAAACACTAAAAATCTAAAGCATTTATATAGTACAGTGGCATTTTTTACAATGTACTTTTTTATGGCTTTAGAGTGCAGCTGTAATGCAAAAAAAAAAAAAAATGCCTCTGGCAGTGTGCTAGTCAAAATGCATGAATCAAAAGATGGTTTGAGAAATTCATAGATTATATGTTGATGCGCTGGGATTATGAAATTTGCACACAACACCCAATTTGTAATTCCCTAATTCATAAGAATAAATAATCAGACTTTCTATTTTTAAGATATACACTTGCCAGTCATATGCAAAGAGGGTTATGATCTATTTAAAGCAGACTTGTCAGGGTCATCAAATAGTTTGTTCCTCTTAGATTACGAGATCCCACAACATTTACATCACCTGCCATAGTATAATGCATAAAGGTGTCATAATTAGATGCAAATTAAACTACTTTACCCCAGCAGGAGTAATGGATATGGCAGGGCACCAGTCCTGTGTTATCACCTGAGAGTATAGATGCATAAATTGGTTTGATGCACTGCTTATACTGTATGGCAGTGCCACTTGTAACAGTTTCTAAGATTCTACTTCATGATGATGATAAACTGGTGTCACACCAGTTGATGAACCTGCAGATCATTTTGACAAATTGAAGGCTGGGCCTGTAGTTGTGGGAGGGGCTTGGGTCCCCTATATAAGGGCTACCATTGTTGGTCTGGCGAGTGACCCCTCCTACCACTCCCTTTCGTCACATCACCCTCTAAGGTGGACCCTCTTTATTGTAGGCCTACTGCCTTGTCGATTCCATCACACCACAACCGACTGGTGTCACTATCTATTGTTATATAAGTATCATATATTATCTAACAATCACGGCAAATATTGCCCTGACAACAACTAGTCTATGCAGTATCTAAAAGAAGGTCTTGAGTATTATGTGCCTACTAATTTCATTCCAGTTTCTAAGGAAGTGAAATATGTCTTCTGTGTAGCATCAGTTTTATAAATTAGATTAGCATTGTAGCATTATATGAACATCTTTAGAAGTACATAAATGTTATTTAACTTAATATTTTCCCTCTATTTTTTTTATTTATTTATTTTTTAAAACAGTGTCCATCGGTTCATAAACAAGGATTGTGCCAGAAATAAAAAAAAAAAAGAGTTTTGTACTTAAGATATTTGAGACAGCAGTTTTAGTACATTGTTGTGGATGAAAGCAATTCAAAATGGTGTCAAACTATCTTCAAAATGATAACTTTTACCCCCCCCCCATTATTAAGTGGAAGTAAGTTTGACAAAATGTGCAACTAATTTACAGCATAACCACCCCCTTTTCACCTTTGGAATTATTACATTTGTTTCATGTGCATATGTACCACACAAATGCAAAAGACTTGCAGCATCCTACACCATACATGTTACATCCTGCTGGAGGTAAGAATCACTACATATTTTTCCATATCATACACTACAAATCATCAGCTAACAACAACAACAACAACAACAACAACAACGTGCTAGAGGCCCTTCCTATACGAAAGTTTACAAATATAATAATAAGTCATCTCTGTGAGAATAAATTTTACACTACTGTAATAAAACTATACTCATTCAGGAATAAACACCTTTACACCGTGCAGTATATGTTTGCTTTGTAAAACAATAAAAAATATCTAGGCATATAAAGGTTTTAATGGTGATGGAAAATATTTTCAGTTATTTTAATAATTCCAGACAAAAAGTCCAGTCATGATACCATAAAATAAGTAAAAGCATAATGGGTAAAAAAAATAAAACATGCTAACATTATCCACATAAACACTTTACAAAACAAACCAATTGTATATTACATTAGGGTCAGAAAATAAATCTTGATTTTTAACCACAAGCCTCTTAGCCATTGAAAGACAGATACTTGGGAATAAGCACCACTAGTACTGAAGGATAGCCTGCATGAATAGTAACTGATGCATTTCTGAAAGCAAGAACAAGCATCTTGTAAGTACACAATCTGCGTGAAAATAAAATGTAAGGTAAATATACAAGGACATAAGGTGATGAGTGAAAAACACCCAACCTTGATGGAACAACTTACAGAATGTGCTACAGGGCAAATATGTCCACTTGGGAATTCAGAAGAAATGCACATACAAATCTCTACAGGTAAAAGGGGGAGATATACTGTAAAACTAATAGTTATAAGTGCCCAGGGTTTGATTTATATTACAGTGTATTTTTAAGGAAATCCCTTAATCCACTTACGTTACTATATTTTTCAACCATATTAATAAACGCTACTGTGTAATATTGCTAATCGGTGCACAAAACAATACCATCGTCAACTGTAAATTAAAAAACATATAGAACTGGGAAGAGATCTGACTTGACAACTAGCAAAGTATAAATATTTCAAAGAGAGAATCATCTAGAGACAAACGATTGCAATGAATTGAAAGAAACACCTAAACCTTGTGCTGCTATAAAGAGCACCATAGGAGCAGACACACCAAGGCAGGGGGTGTGACTCATATACATTCATGCCTCAAGTTTAATTTTCTGTAGCTGGTGCATACTGTGGATGAGCAGGTGCACCCTGGGGACTAATGTATTGGTGGGGGGCACAGCACAGTTCTGCTCACCTGACACCCTTTCTTGTGGTGGAAGCCAACCACCACAATGTGCAGCACAGGTCCTCCTCTGCCATTACCCCCTGAGCCTTCCTCTCCAGCCTGGGTGTCCATGGCCAATGATGGGCTGGCCAGGGCCAGTAGTGTCACCGCTGAGAGATCAGACTCCCTGCTCTTGCTGCCCTTGCTGTCAGTCTCTGTCAGGGATAATGTGTTGCTGTTTGTAGGCTGGTCACAGGGAGCAGATAATCAGGTTAAGGTGGAAGTTTGACTGTATCTATAATATGGCAGACCTGCCTCCAATGGGCAGTATGTCTCTACCTGTCCCTCTCCTCAAGATTGTCTCTTTTTGCCTTTGTGAGTCTTCTTTCCATTTGCTCTCCCTGTGTCTCTGTTATTCCTCCCTCTTCCCTTCTCTCTGCAGTCAGATGTCACTGACAGCCTCAACGTGACATCACTCCACCAGCCACTCCGAGCTCTAAACACCAGCAAGGGCAGCGTCACCAGGAAACTCGCATCGGATTGGCCGAAACTCACACTCTCAGCACAGTTAATGCTTGTCAGTTCGGCTGAGCTCTAAACACCGGAGCCAGCTCTGTCAATTATCACTTGTAAATGTGTCTCCGCTGCTAGGTTCAATTGACTTTATACGCAACCTTACCTGCGGTGAACAAAACAACGGGGTTATCTAAGTCTGATCGGGATACCTTCTTTATTTGGGACTTTTAGGATACTTGTACAATATCCCTGTTTCTGACACGATTCTTTCCTGCCCTGGTGTTACTCTCTTGGTAGAACACAGGTTATGATATTGAGTGTATCACAGACTCCATCATAAGAAACTCACTGTAAAATGTGCTGGGATAACTGCAGAGAATGTGACCACACACTCTGACAATACACTCAAACCTTGATTCAAATTTCTTACATTATGAAAGCTGCTCTGTCACTTTTGATAAAGATTAGATTTTTTGACTACTTTGGCATTTCCTAAACAATAAGAATGCGTAAATAAGTGAAGGGGTTAATTTCTGGTCAACTGAATCACAAGACTAACAGCCTTGTGAATTGCAAGGACATTAAATGTGTAGTTTTCCACCTAAATGAAGAACGTTATACACGTAGTCTTAGCACATGACCATCTTTGGGCTCCCCTATTCTCTACAGTCTACACCTTCCTATTCTAAGGATTCCACACCTAGTAATTTCCTCTATATATGTTTTATATCAAGGATTTGTTGTATGCTTTTACCATTCTGTTTGCACAAGCTTTACACGCTAATTAATAATTGTCACTATTTGATTGGTAATTAGTGAGACACTCTAGACTGCCCCTTAATAGAACTCCTTAAAATCGTTCTCCTGTTTAATAAACATTGAATATTCTCTGCATTGACTTTGTTGTATGGTCTAGTCATTGAGTGTTCCACAAGTATTTGGGCTGGCTCGGGCTGGATAGAACTATAAGTCCATGACAGGAGAATTCTGGTGATCACCAAGGACTAGAAAGGAAGCAATCGCTTGCAATGGACAGAGCTTTCTCAGCTCTAAAAAAAACTTTTTAACCCCCTAAGGACACATGACATGTGTGACATGTCACGATTCCCTTTTATTCCAGAAGTTTGGTCCTTAAGGGGTTAAACAGGGGGCCAGTTCACTGTCCCTGAGACACTGTTGGGGGCCGGACTTTAGATACTGAAACAGACACATAGAAATACAGACACATACTAACATACATACATACAGACACACACACGCATAAGGACATACATACATAGACACTGACAGACATACATACACATACATACTGAAATACATGTACGTACGTACATACATACAGACATACACATACTGACACATACATACAGACACAGACACATACAGACAGAGACAGACATACATACAAACACATGCATACATACATACTGACACACATACAGATAGATACATACATACATACATACACTTACAGATATATATACATGCCTACACATACTGACATACATACATACACACAGACAGACATACTGACATACATACACACATACATACTGTACATTCACATACAGATATACATACATACAGACACATAATGACATACATACAAACACATACTGACATACACACAAACACAGCTAATTTTTCTTAAGTTTTTTGCAGCCGAGAGGGCCGCATTGGTATTGCCTATAAAACAAAACCCTCTTTGGGTCCATTCTCTGATGTCATGCGCACACTCGCTCACCATATCCACATTGAAAGAGTCTGCACGGGCGTATGCGTCATCCGCCAGGTACATAACATGGGCCAGAGGCCCCATCGTGTCCAGGAGTTTATCGCGTGCGCCCCGGAAGCCCCTTTTGACTCCTCTGCGAGGTTCTCGACTTCCACGTATCATAAATGCCAGCATGAGCTGGTCAAACTCAGGCGTAAATGACACTTTATCAGTAGTGATGCACCGAACGGTTCGCTGGCGAACATAGCGTGTTCGCGTCCGCCGCGGATGGCGAACACATGTGCGGTTCAATCCGCCCCCTATTCGTCATCATTGAGTAAACTATGACCCTGTACCTCACAGTCAGCAGACACATTCCAGCCAATTAGCAGCACACCCTCCCTAGCAGACCCTCCCACCTACTGGACAGCATCCATTTTAGATTCATTCTCAAGCTGCATGCTTAGTGAGAGGAGGGAAAGTGTAACTGCTGTTGATTAGATAGGGAAATGCATAGCTAGGTTAGGGTATACAGTGTCCACTACAGTCCTGAAGGACTCATCTGATCTCTGCTGTAAGAACAGCACCCCAAAAAGCCCTTTTTAGGGCTAGAACATCAGTCTGCTTTTTTTTTTTCTGTGTAATGTAATTGCAGTTAGTTGTCTGCCACTGCTGCCAGCTTCTGTGTCAGGCTCACAGTGGATACTGTGCCCATTTGCCCAGTCAGTGCCACCACTTATATCTGGTGTCACAATAGCTTGCATTTAAAAACAAAAAACTTTTTTCACTGTTATAGATTGAATAGCAGTCAGTGTCCTTAAAGCGGGTGTGTCAGGCTCACAGTGGATACCGTGCCCATTTGCCCAGTCAGTGCCACCACTCACTCACTGGTGTCACAATAGCTTGCATTTAAAAACAAAAAACTTTTTTCACTGTTATAGATTGAATAGCAGTCAGTGTCCTTAAAGCTGGTGTGTCAGGCTCACAGTGGATACTGTGCCCAGTGCCACCACTCACTCACTGGTGTCACAATAGCTTGCATTTAAAAACAAAAAACTTTTTTCACTGTTATAGATTGAATAGCAGTCAGTGTCCTTAAAGCGGGTGTGTCAGGCTCACAGTGGATACTGTGCCCAGTGCCACCACTCACTCACTGGTGTCACAATAGCTTGCATTTAAAAACAAAAAACTTTTGTCACTGTTATAGATTGAATAGCAGTTAGTGTCCTTAAAGTGGGTGTGACAGGCTCACAGTGGATACAGTGCCCAGTGCCACCACTCACTCACTGTTGTCACAATAGCTTGCATTTAAAAACAAAAAACTTTTTTCACTGTTATAGATTGAATATCAGTTAGTTGTCTGACACTGCTGCCAGCTTCTGTGTCAGGCTCACAGTGGATACTGTGCCCATTTGCCCAGTCAGTGCCACCACTCATATCTGGTGTCACAATAGCTTGCATTTAAAAACAAAAAACTTTTTCACTGTTATAGATTGAATAGCAGTCAGTGTCCTTAAAGCGGGTGTGTCAGGCTCACAGTGGATACTGTGCCCAGTGCCACCACTCACTCACTCACTGGTGTCACAATAGCTTGCATTTAAAAACAAAAAACTTTTTTCACTGTTATAGATTGAATAGCAGTCAGTGTCCTTAAAGCTGGTGTGTCAGGCTCACAGTGGATACTGTGCCCATTTGCCCAGTGCCACGACTCATATCTGGTGTCACAATAGCTTAAGCTTGACATTTAAAAAGAAAAACATTTTTTTTCACTGTAATATATTGAATAGCAGTTAGTTGTATGCAAGCGTCTGGGTGTCAGGCCTCCTTCAGCGTGTGCTCTGCAGACCTCTGCCCGTGTACTTTGCCACTCATATCTGGTGTCTCTATAGCGTGCTTTTACAAAGAAAAAAAAAGTTTTTCAGTGTAAGCTAATAGCAGTCAGTGTCCTTAAAGCGGGTGTCAGGCCTCCTTCAGCGTGTGCTCTGCAGACCTCTGCCTGTGTAATTTTGCCACTCATATCTGGTGTTCATAGCTGCTGCTTTTACAAAGAAAAAAGTTTTTCAGTGTGTTAATACAGTCAGTGTCCCAAAGCGGGTATCAGACCTCCTTCAGCTGTTCTCTGCAGACCTCTGCCCGTCTACTTTGCCACTCATATCTGGTGTCTCTATAGCGTGCTTTTACAAAGAAAAAAAGTTTTTCAGTGTAAGCTAATAGCAGTCAGTGTCCTTAAAGCGGTGTCAGGCCTCCTTCAGCGTGTGCTCTGCAGACCTTTGCCCGTGTACTTTGCCACTCATATCTGGTGTCTCTATAGCGTGCTTTTACAAAGAAAAAAAGTTTTTCAGTGTAAGCTAATAGCAGTCAGTGTCCTTAAAGCTGGTGTCAGGCCTCCTTCAGCGTGTGCTCTGCAGACCTCTGCCCGTGTACTTTGCCACTCATATCTGGTGTCTCTATAGCGTGCTTTTACAAAGAAAAAAAGTTTTTCAGTGTAAGCTAATAGCAGTCAGTGTCCTTAAAGCGGGTGTAAAGCCTCCTTCAGCGTGTGCTCTGCAGACCTCTGCCCGTGTACTTTGCCACTCATATCTGGTGTCTCTATAGCGTGCTTTTACAAAGAAAAAAGTTTTTCAGTGTAAGCTAATAGCAGTCAGTGTCCTTAAAGCGGGTGTCAGGCCTCCTTCAGCGTGTGCTCTGCAGACCTCTGCCCGTGTAATTTGCCACTCATATCTGGTGTCTCTATAGCGTGCTTTTACAAAGAAAAAAAGTTTTTCAGTGTAAGCTAATAGCAGTCAGTGTCCTTAAAGCGGGTGTCAGGCCTTCAGCATGTGCTCTGCAGACCTCTGCCAGTGTACTTTGCCACTCATATCTGGTGTCACAATAGCGTGCATTTAAAAACAAAAAACTTTTTTCACTGTTATAGATTGAATAGCAGTTAGTTGTCTGCCAGCGTCTGTGTCAGGCTCACAGTGGATACTGTGCCCAGTGCCACCACTCACTCACTGGTGTCACAATGGCGTGCATTTAAAACCCAAAAACTTTTTTCACTGTTATAGATTGAATAGCAGTCAGTGTCCTTAAAGCGGGTGTCAGGCCTTCAGCATGTGCTCTGCAGACCTCTGCCAGTGTACTTTGCCACTCATATCTGGTGTCACAATAGCGTGCATTTAAAACCAAAAAACTTTTTTCACTGTTAGAGATTGAATAGCAGTTAGTTGTCTTAAAGCGGGTGTGTCAGCCCTACAGCGTGTACTCTGCCAGTTTACAGTGCCACTCATATCTGGTGTCATAATAGCTTGCATTTAAAAACAAAAAACCTTTTTCACTGTTATAGATTGAATAGCAGTTAGTTGTCTGCCAGCGGGTGTGTCAGGCTCACAGTGGATACTGTGCCCAGTGCCACCACTCACTCACTGGTACCTGGATGAAATTTCTTTTCACAAAAGGCAATCCCCAACCTGTACTCAATTGTGCAAAAGGAAATAATGGCAGGTCTGGCACACAGTGTTGGGGCAAGGGTCCATCTGACCACTGATACCTGGTCTGCAAAGCATGGTCAGGGCAGGTATATCACCTACACCGCGCATTGGTCAAACCTGCTGACGGCTGCCAAGCATGGAATGCATGGCTCTGCAGAGGAGTTGATGACACCGCCATGACTTGCAGGCAGGCCTGCTGCCACCTCCTCTACTCCTCCTACTCCATCCTCTTCCATAACTTCCTCGGCTGAGTCCTCTTCTGCTGCTGTGTCTTGCTCCACATCAACGGATAGGGGACGTAACAGGGATTAAACTGATAAGAATAGTACTACTTAACACACCACTCCTATCTGGTGGCATATTAGATTGCACGCGCAGTGCCCCAAATTTGTTGTGATCTGTGAGTAAGGTAAACGGTTGTCCATACAAGTAAGGTTGCAGCTTTTTGAGGGCCCACACCACCGCCAGGCACTCCTTTTCAATGGCAGTTTATCTACTTCCCTGGGCAAAGGTTTCCGGCTTAGATAAGCCCCGGGTTGTTCGCCGCCATCTGCTCCGACTTGGCTCAGTACTGCTCCCAATCCAAACATAGAAGCGTCTGTATGGACGAGAAAGCGTTTAGTTGGATCAGGAGCAGAAAGTACAGGTGATTTAATGAGCGCCGTCTTGAGCTGTTGGAAGGCCTGTTCACACTCTGGGACCCATACTACTATCTTGGGGAGGATTTTACGCGTTCCTATATGGCACTTACTGGGCTTTAGGGTCAGTCCGGCCTCCCTAATCCGGTCTAGTACGGCTCCTATGTGGGTCAGGTGTTAGGGCCAGGAGCAGCTAAAAATGGCTATATCATCCAAGTAGGCGCAGGCATACTCCTGAAACCCATCCAGTAGCCGATCTACCATCCTCTGAAAGTTAGCCTGGGCATTCTTCATCCCGAATGGCATGGCCTTAAACTGATACAGGCCAAACGAGGTGACAAATGCCGACTTGTGGATGGCGTCCTCGGCTAATGGAATTTGCCAGTACCCCTTGCACAGATCTATTGTGGTGAGGTACTGGCCTCTGGCCATTTTGTCTAGGATCTCGTCTATCCGGGGCATAGACGAGGCGTCTGAGGTTGTTTTATCGTTTAGCCTCTGGTAGTCTACACAGAAACGGGTCATGCCGTCCCATTTTGGTACTAGGCCCAGGGGCTGTCAGAGTGTTCTATCACCCCTAACTGCATCATTTCCTCAATTTCTTTCTTTTTTTTTCAATTTGACAATTTTTATTTTCCATATAGAAAAAAGGGGGGGGGGGAAGGGATACAAAAATTAATGGGGGGGGGGGATGAATGGGGCAGGGTGGAATAACGAAGGTTCCACTCATGACATTATACTTTATACAACATTTTCACTTTATACAATACACAGGTTATTAGTATTTATAATCATGACTACAACCTTGTCCGGCCTTTCTGTATAACCAGCTTATTGTTTTGGCTCTTTAACATGTATCTCCAAATGCCGGTCTGGCTGAGGTTACCTGGTATACCTTTAGTGTTTCAAAGGTGGGGGTGGGAATCACAGACGCCAAATGTGGGGTATGATGGAGTGGGGTTAGTTGGTACCGTGTGTATTTCCAACGGTCATTATATCCCACTTTACTTAGTACAGCCGTAGTTTGGATAGTTTAAACAGTGTCGGCAGGGCACTGTCTATGCACCTCAGCCCGGAGGTGTCCACATGTTTACCAGCCTGTCCTGCGCTCGTTGTCGTGCCTTTTTACCGTGTGGCCTATGTCAATGAGTTGGACAGAAGGAGGTGGTGGAGGGGAGTGGGGGGGTCCAGGTGCTCACCCGGGGGGGGAGGGGTATGAGGGGAGTTAGCTTAAATATATACACTGGTGGGTTGTTTGTCTCGTCTGTATGTGGTACATCTACCTGGTTTCTTTTGAGAAGGGTTCGCTGTACCTGTTTGATCTCTCATCACCGGCCTCTTTCCACTGTTTCCCGGGGTATACCCTCTCAGATTGCGTTGGTGAGGCTAAAGAATCTTACTCATCCCCAGTTGTTTGGGACTTCACCTTGTTCCAGTATTGTTCCCAAATTTTCCCCGCCTCCATAGTTGCCACTCCCGTCCCCAATTGTTGGGCCGCCATGCGTTCATATTCCCAATTCTTTTGGATCTGGGTAACTAGCTCAGCTTTTGTGGGGATGTTCCGTGATTTCCAGTTTTTTGCTATTAGGTTACATGCTGCTATCAGCGTGTGGAATAGGAGTTTGGAGTGGACCTTGGTCAGGCCTTCTGGCCATATGTATAAGAGGCATGTAGCCGGGGTCAGGGTCATCTTTGCAGGAAGCAGTTGGTCCACGATGGTGCTCACCATGGCCCAGTAAGGTTGCACGTCTTTACACGTCCACCAAATATGTATTAGTGAGCCTGTGTCTAGCTGGCATCTCCAGCACTGAGTAGACACATTCGGGAACATGTGTGCTAGCCGTGTGGGGACCAAATACCACCTGTATTGCAGTTTTCTCACTTGTTCAAAGTGTGTAATGCAGGCTGTGTTGCCCTTGTGGATTGTGAAGGCTCTGGACCATTGGGCCTCCGTGAAGGTGCTGCCAAGGTCTTTGTGCCATGCCTGTATAAAGTTGTCTGTGGATGCGTGAGTGCCCTCAAGCAATGTGTTATATATTTTTGAAATGCTTCGTCTGTGTGGCTTGCCCGTGAGGCACCACGTGTCAAAGTTTGAGATCATGGGTGTCGTAGGTGGAGTCTTGGGTTGCCGTAGGGTGGACTTGAGCTGCAAGTATGAGAAAATTGCTTTACTCGGTAGGTTGTACTGTGTTTGTAGGTCCGGGAACTGTTTTAGGGATGTACCCTTGTATAAGTCGTGTATGTGTGTACACCCTGCATCCGTCCAAGTCCGGTAGTCAAATGTTTTGTTTCTCAGGTGGATACTATACATTGTCGATGCTAGCGATGTGGTTCCTGAGCCGCTGAGGTGCGTTCTATGTGTGTCCCAGGTATGCAGCATTAGTTTGGTGGTCTCTAGCATGGTCGGTGTTGTTGGCCTTAGGTGTTTTGGCACCCAAAACAAGTGGTGCATCCCTGCTCTACATGTCCATTGGGATTCAATGGCTACCCATTGTGGTGGGTTAGCTGCCCTGTGTGTCGTGGCTAGCGCTGCTAGAATGGCCGCCTTGTAGTACAGTTTGACGTCTGGGAAGCTCATACCCCCCCTCTCCGTTGTTCTTTTTATTGTAGAGTATGCCACTCTGGGTGTTTTGTTCGCCCACACGAATCTCGTGATGATTTTTTGTAGTTTGACCATATATTGCCTAGGTATAGGGATTTGCAGCGTGCGGAATAGGTATTGTAATTTTGGCAACAGTGACATTTTAAATGCCGCTATGCGCCCATGCCACGAATGGAAGTCACTGTTCCACTGGTCTAACGTCTGAGAGATTTCCTGCAGGAGTTTCTCATAATTATATTTAAACATTTGGCCGCTCGTCTTGGCTAGCTTAATCCCCAGGAATGTGATATAGTCTTCCCTCCAGTCAAAGGTGAAGGAGTTCGTCAGTGTTTGTAAAGTATGTTCTGGCAGATGGATTCCCATTGCTTGTGTTTTTGTGAGATTTAATTTGTAGTAGGATACTTTGTTATATTCTCGTATGCACTGTAGTAAATTCGGTAGGGATATTATTGGTTGCGTCAACGTCAGGAGTATGTCGTCTGCGAATAGATTAAGGGTGTACTCCCTGTCCCCCACTTGGACCCCATGTATATCAGGGTGGGCTCTGATCACTGCAGCCAGCGGCTCCAGTGCCAGTACATATAGCAGGGGGGACAGGGGGCACCCCTGTCTTGTTCCATTGGTAATGGTTATCTTTTTTGACACAAAACCCGAATTAAGTACTTGGGCTCTTGGTGCCGAATACAGTGCCCTGACCACTGAAATAAACCCCTCCGGCATCCCGTACCTCCTCAGGGCCGCCTGCAGGAATCCCCACCCCAGTCGGTCAAAGGCTTTTTCTGCGTCCAGTGAGAGCAGAACCCCCCCTTCCCGTTTCACCCCTAAGCTTTGCATGAGGTCGAGGACTTTTCTGGTGTTGTCTGCCCCCTGGCGCCCCGTCACAAATCCCACTTGGTCATCGTGTATGATGTGTGGTAATATCGGGCTTAGCCTCATAGCGAACAGTTTCGCCAGTAGTTTAGTGTCAGTATTAAGGAGGGATATGGGTCTGAAATTTTGTGGGTAATTTGGGGGTTTGCCAGGCTTGGGCAAAGTGATAATGTGGGCGAGCTGCATTTCCTCCGGTAGGGTTTGTGTTCGCACGGCCTCATTGAAAACTTCTGCTAGGCATGGTGCCAATATATCTCTAAATTTGCTATAGTAAGAGTTGGCAAATCCATCAGGGCCCGGGGCCTTACCCCTTGGTAGCGACTTTATGGTGTCTCCTACCTCCTCAGGGGTGACTGGTCGGGTAAGGGTGTCCTTCTGTTGGGCTGTCAAAGTCGGGAGGTTGATTTTGTTTAGGTATGTCTCTATCTCGGCCGTTGTCGGTGTGGGTATGGTTGCATCGTTGCTAAGATTGTACAGGTCCCCATAGTATTGTGCGAACTCATCGCTAATAGTGAGCGGCGACATAGCTTTCCCCCCTGCTTTCGTGTGTAGGTACGCTATTTTCTGTGACTGTTGTCGCTTTTTTAACCTTGCTGCCAGTAGTTTACTCGCTCTATTCCCCTTTCAATTTCCATAAGTTGTGTCCTACCTTAGTTAGCGCATGTTGGCGAAGTTGCTGGCGCACTAGGGCTATTTGTTCTTTTAGCTGTTGTGTGGGGCGGAGTTGATTTTGTATCGTCAGTGTGTAAATGTCTTTTTGCCACTTCGTCACTTGTGTCTGTGTCTTCCTTTTGATGTATGATGCTTGTTTTATAAGGAGTCCACGGGCAACTGCCTTATGTGCTTGCCAAATTGTGTGGTGTTGTAAGTCGGGGTTGGCATTGTCTGTAAAATAGGGACTCTGCTAGCGTTCCCGAGAAGGTTTTGTCTGTCAGGAGGGTCTCGTTAAGCCGCCAGGGGCTCCTATGTTTGAAGTCATAAGTGTCCCTCAAGATTAGTTCTATAGGGGCATGGTCAGACCACACTATCTGTCCCACCCGACAGTCCACTACCTGCCCTAGTGTGGTTCCCTCCACTAGGATCGCGTCGATTCTCGAGTATGTATTATGAACCTGCGAGTGGTGGGTGTACTCTTTGTCTTCTGTGTGCGTGACTCTCCATGCATCATAGTAGTGATGCATTGACAGTAATTTGGTCAGGGCCGCGCTTTGGCGCTTAAGTGATTTATATCGCGGGCTGGTTCGGGAGAGAGTAGTGTCTACAGCTGGGTTTAGGACATGGTTCAGGTCCCCACATATAATTGTAGTGCCTTGTTGGATGTGAGAGATTTTGTGTATCATTCTGTGTATGAAATTCCTCTGGTTGGTGTTTGGGGCATATATATTCACTATGGTATATAGTATATTATTTATGTGTCCCACTATTATAACGTATCTTCCTTCTGGGTCGGTGTCCTCAGTGATCAGAGTGAAAGCGACTTTTTTACTGAGCAGGGTGGTGACTCCCTTAGATTTGGTCGTGGACGTAGAGTGGAACTGGTGAGGGTAGGAGTTGGTCAGGATGCTGGGATGGGACGTGCCCCTGAAATGTGTTTCCTGTAAACACACGATGTCCGCATCAGCTTTGCCTACATCCCTGCTAAGAAGGTGTCGTTGGACCGGGAGATTGAGTCCCCTTACATTGTGGCTGTAAAACTTAAGGTGGTTTGTATGGGAAGGTATTGTGAGAGTTTGATATGTATTGGTCTATGATGGGGCTCTGCCCTCCCCAGCTACGGCAAGCTGGGCAGATCCCACTAAGATAACCCCTGCGGGTATTCGATAGGTATGTCTGTTCGGTGCTTTGTATCCGGTGGAGAGGCGCTCGTGGTGCTACAGTGTAGATGGTAGGTAATACGTGCGGGCCACCCACCTGGCCCGAATTGGTTGTAGGGGGGCTAAGGGAGGGAAACATAACAAGAACAGAACTCAATATTACATAAAATGCAAACCTATATACAATCATAAACAAAAATGCCAGAATAATGGCAAGGTTCCCATTTAGGGAGCCATGGGGGTCGGAGCGTAATGCTTCGATCCTGCGTGGGGGGGGGGTGTGCTGCCGCGAGTGCGGCCCTCTTGTTTCTTTTAACATGGTGATTGACCCAATTTGCACTGTTATGCCGTCTTCTTATTAGCTAACACTCTTTAGTGAGCCATCGCTCTACATTATTAGGCGTATTTGGTCTTTGGGGCTTGGTAAGACTTTTTTTTATTTTTATTTTTTTTATTTTATTGGGGGTGTGGTATTATTGCATTGTTATACTTGATATATTTTTTTTTTATTTTTTTTTTTTTTAAACTTGGCATTAACACCGTTGGGAGAGGTTATCCCTAACTCTGTGCGGACTTAGCTTAGGTCTACACATGACCCTTAAATATCTGGTTATAACTTTGTCTGGCTATCTGACCTCAATTGCTCCCTGGTTATCATACCCCTAGTCTGGCTTGGATAGTCTAACATTAAATCATACCAAAATCAAACAATATACATAACATAACATGGCTATTTTGCATTGCGTGATGCAGCATACTGTATACTTGCGGGCGACTTGAA